CCGGGGGCCCCCCCCCCCCCCCCCCCCCCCCGCTTTTTTTTTTAATTAGTGCTCTGAGCCTCAGATGTACTTGCTGTCTCACCTCCGAACTTTTCACGGTAGCTGTTTTTAACTTAAAGGAAGAAAGCTATCTTTATGTAAATTAACACAAATTTGTTAATGACTGCTACTCTTTCCAAAGTTTCCTTTTTGAGAGAAAATGCTTATTAACTCCAATGAAAATGTCATTGATGAGCCCTGGCCGGGTAGCTCAGTTGGTTAATGTCAGCCCTGTACACCAAGGTTGCTAGTCCCATCCCAGTCAGAGCACATACAAGAAGCAACCAATGAATGCATAAATAAGTAGAACAACAAATCAATATTTCTCTCCCTCTCCCTACCTCTCTCTAAAATAAATTTCATTGATGAAATTTAAGTTAGGGTAAGAGAAATTAAATAAATGAAAAGAAATTTTAGGCCAGAAGGGATAATTTGTAATAAGACCAGGCACCTTAGGAAGAGAAGAGCAAGTTTTTAGAATTCTTGCCCCTTGGCTATTTGTAGTTTTTAACCCTTGAATCTATTTACAGGATGTTTTCTCAGTGAGCAATGCCTGCATAATTAGAGCTCAGTTTTCTGGTGAAGTAAGAGATCTTAGATTTCTTGCTGGAGAGCTTTTGGGTATTAGGAATGCCTCTAATTAAATTATAACCAAGGAAAGTTGAGAGCAATGAACAAAGAACTTTTAGCATCTTTAATTTGTTAACCTATCAAAAAAATATTTAAAGGGACTAATGAAGGAAGGAGGGAGCTTTGTTACCTCAAAAGAGTTTCTATTACAAGAATGAAGTGTAGGCTTTGAGATCACTACAGGTAGATTTGAGTGTTTTGGCCACTTAATGTATTTGTAATCTTGGTAAAGTTACATAATTGCCTGAGTCTTATTTTTTATATGGAAATTGGAGAAAGTAACTGAATCACAGGGTTGTTGAAGAGATCAAATAAGTAAGCCAATCTGAGAAAGTTATAAAATAAAATTTGTCTCTTATAGCTTGAGAGGTAACTACAATTTTTTGGAATTTTGGTAATAAATTAGATTATAATACAAGTAATTTAAAATCTTAAAGGAGAAGCAATTTAAAGATATTTCATAGTTATATATTAAAAATAAGAGTGACTTTATAGCCTGTTACAATTTATATTTGAGGTAGAATAGTTACAATATTTTGGAAATATGAAATGGCTAACCTTGTAGATTTTTTAAAAATGGTTAATTTTATAAATGAATATTTACATACTGTCACAGAAAAATATGTTTTTAATGTATTCAAATATGTATACTACTAAATAAATCTAAAGTACAAGGTATAAATTTAAATTAGGATTTAGGGTGATGAAATTATTGTGTATCCTGATTGTGGTGGTGATTACATGGACATGTGTATTAAAATCCATAGATTATATACACATAGAAAAGTTCAATTTAGTACATATTAATTGAAAAAATAAAATTTTAATGATTTAAAAAAATGTATGCTGTCTTTTAAAAAATAAAATAAAATGGTGGGTTCTTAAAAAGATTCTATGAGATTTACTTTATATTATAAATTTTCAATGGTATTCTTTACCAGTTTCATTTTAACCTTACGCCAGTTTTAAGACATAAAACGTTTGTGTGAGTGTGTGTGTGTGTTTAGATAATACAGAATCCTACACTCACTACAATATAGTAGGTCAGAGTTTGTGAACCTAAGCAACATTGGTCTTTTTGTTGTGGCGGCTATCCAGTGCGTTTTAAGATTTTTAGCAGTATCCCATTAGATACCAGTAGCACTCCTCCACTCTTCCCCAGCCCCCATACTGACAACCAAAAATGTTTGCAGACATTGCTGAATGTCCTTGAGGGGTGGGAGTGGGCAAGGAGACAAAATCACCACAGTTGAAAATCACTGTACTAGGCCTTAGTAGCTCAAACTTTGGAATACATATTTCTTTATTTTCAAAGCTTGACTGATTGTATATTATGGTGAGAGTTCTGTATACCTAATCTCCACCTATACCAAGAGATCTTTTTTAAAATTATTTAATGCTACAATATGGTACATCCAACTCATAAAGTGAAAAGGCTTTACTTTTATTAAATCTTTGTAAAATGAGAGTTTTAGAAGTATTTGAAGGGTATAACAGTATATGCCACATAACAGCAATCTTAATAAGCCAGTATGTGAGTGGAGAGATTGGAAGAAGGAACTGCATAGCACTATGTCCTGCCTTGAATATATTCTGGTGCCTTGGCAAATCATTTAACGAAAATGTTTATTATTTATAGAGTGGGAATGACTTAACCTAAATTGTATAGGGTAACAGAGTAGGGGAAGTGAGTGATTTGATTTAGACATAAATTATGTAAAAACATTAAGGCTTTAATTGATCAGATATTTGAACTCTTTCAGCTCTTAAATACTAGAAGAAAATGGAATTGAATATGATGTCAGCATGGAACAGTCTAATGATTCATTAATAGTCAACCATAATGATTCCGAAGATTCAAAAACAGATTCTCAGGTAATTTGAGGTAGGGATTCAACTGGGAACTTTTTCCCATTCTAAGGGAAAACAACATGCCATTTAACAACTTTTTATGCTGAAGGAATACCGTTATACTTAATGTATTCAAGAATTTTAACATTTTATTTTTCACAATTCTATCATATTTAGTTTTGTATATTCATAACATTTTATACCCATGAAATCCTTATGTTGAATTATATTTCATCACTTGAGGTTGAATATAATAAAAATCAATTTCACTTAAGAACTGCTTTCTGTCTGTATCAGTCTGTGAATTAACAACTTTTGCAGTGTAAAGTGGATAATTAACTGAAAAAAAGTCTTCATTTTTATTATAAACATTTTGTTTTTTTAAAAAATTGTTATGTTTTACAAACATCCAAGTGATTATTTATTTTATTATTTTTTTGCAAAGCATTCAACCTGTATCGACTCCAGGGATCCTTCCTTTGAACAAAATAGTTCTGATAGAGTTTTACCCATCACTACTCATGAAGCAGATAATTCACTCACATCACAGAATATACCAGGGCCCCTGACTCAGGCACAGACTCTTTCTGCAGAGCAATTTCACCTAGTGGACCAAAATGGGCAACCTATTCAATATGAACTTCAGTCATTGGAGGATTCTAATGCACAAATGGTGAGTATATTTTATAAAGAATGAGTTTTAGCCCTAACCAGTGTGTTTAATGGTTAGAGCGTCAGCCCGCATACCAAAGGGTCGTAGGTTCAATTCCTGGTTAAAGGCACATACTTGCATTGCGGGGGTGCTGTGGGGGCAACCAGTCTATGTGTCTCTCTTCTCTCTCCTTCCCTCCCTCTCACTTTCTCTCTCTCTCTCTCTCCACCCCCTCCTTTCCACACTCTCTAGAGAAAATATTCTCTGGTGAGGACTAACTATATATATGTGTATATATATATATATATATATATATAGTTTTACTATTTGTGTTTGAAGATTTAAAAATTTGCATTTCTTATCAAACATTCAAGAGTCACATTGACTGGTTGCCTCCCACACATTGACATTCCTCTAAATTTAAGGCAATGGGTTCAGTATTAACCTGAAAAAAAGTATAATGTATACTTTTCTCTATGCTTTTAGATTTTTTGGAACTTTGTAGTATTCCCTATAGACCAAGACAGGACATATATAAATGCAGAGATATAAAAACAAATACTGTTTAATTAGACATCTAAAAAGTTACTGTTTTTTTAACTAATAAAATGACTTAAAATATAGACGATTACCACACAAATAGGACAAACATGTATGGGTAAGACAATAAGTATAAAAAAGTTAATACATTTGACATACAATATGATAGTCAGAGCCTTGTCATATTACTGAGTCATTAGATCTCACCCATGTGTAATGACTACGATCATAGGTGGTTAAGATCATAAGACATAGGGTCAAACTTCCTGTTTTGAATTCTAGCTTTACCAGTTAACAGTTTGAGACTTTGGAAAAATTTTTATGTATCTCAGTGTTTTCATCTATAAAATGAGGGAAATAATAGTATCGACCAAAGAGGCAGGCATGTCTTTAATGATTTAAATAATAACTCTTAAATTAGTATAGGCTTATGCATTTGATTTCTTTTTTAATGAATCCAAGATGATTGTTGCCAGCTCATCAGAAAATGGACAGATGCTTCGTGTAATTCCATCTACCCAGACAGGAATGACACAAGTGATTATACCTCAGGGGCAACTTGTGGATATGAATAGTCCTCAGGGTAAGTAATAATGGGAGATAGGGGATTTTAGAATGTTTTAAAGAAAAAGATGTACACTTAGAAAATTCACCTCATGAAAGTCAGTGCTAAAATTGATTTCTTTGGGTAAGGTTGTGAACTGAATAATTAGAAAAAATTTCTTAGCCCAAATAAATTTTAAGTTCATTTTTCAACTCCTGTCTAGGTTAGCTGTCTATTTCATTTTGGAATTCTATGAAGCTGGTTGACTCTTGCTTCCTCCCAAATGACCAGTGAGCATAAAATAAATTCTTAATTATGATAACAGTAATAATACCAACAATGATAACAGGAATATAGTGCTAATAGCTACTGGAGAAGATTTTACATTTGTATTTTTATGTATTTTTATCAGTATTGTTGTTAGTCATATCACTTATTACTTTTTTTAATGATTCTTTTCATCCTCTTTGCTCTTTTCCTTCTTTCTTTGTTCCTTCAATTTCAGAAAGGAGACTCGTATTTCCAGTTTCTTTTTATTTTACTTTTTCTCCACATATTTAATGATAACACTATTCTCTTCCTTTTGCTTCCCTTGCCATTCCATCTATTTGAATCTCTTTTCTAACATCATAGTTACACTCTTCTGTTGCTTGTTCATAGTTATGATTTAGGGTAGATATTTTTACCTTAATGTTTATGATTCTTTGTCTTTGTTAACAGTTCTTAAAACAAAAACTTAAGGAAAAAAACATAGTTTGCAGAAAACATAATAAACATGGTATAGAAACAAAAACAAGTCAGTTTTACATTTTCCTATTATGTATAATCGGAAATTATACAGACTCTAAATATGTATAACAATTATTTCTACCACTGTTATATCCTAGATGTTCAATATAAGTTCCAAAAACTTAATTACAGAATTTTAGTAGTCAGTATTAAAATTGGAAAGTAAACAAGTTTATCAGAGAAATTCTCAATAAAGCATTGTAAGGTTTATTGTCTTTAGCTTCAGAGCATATCTTCCCTTTCCTGTTTCAAATATTAAAGTTCTAGTTAGTTACATTCTCATGGTCTTATTTAAGATAGTGATGTTGTTTTGTTCTTGTGATTGTGGTTAAGATGCCTCTGAAGAGAAACCCAGCAACAGAAACTTACCAACTGCAAGACTGGATGCTCTCGCCGACCATAACAGTAGTTATATTCTGCATCCACAAGCATCCCTCACATTGCCCCAAAAGACAGTGACCAGGTGAGTCAAGGGGACAGTAGCTCATCTTTTGTTATCACCATGGAAATACAGTTTTTTAATTATTACATCTAAAGCTGGCTGACTGTAGAAAAGATCAGAAATTCAGGAAATACAATAGGCTGTCATCAAACATACCTTTATTTTAATGGCTTCTTGGCAGTAAGGAAGCTAGTCTAAAAGAGGAAATGTCCAAAGTGCTGCTTTCCTATCGTATTTAAAACAACCTGGAAACACCTGACACTAATGGAATTTTTAGAATAAAGAAATATTCATTCTAGTTCCTAAAATTTTTAATGGTCTCATCACATTTTTATGCATTTAATTCCTCTGTGGTAAAGTGTTTAAAATGTGTTTTGTTAATATGTGTTTCAGCTTTTACTTTTGCCTTAAAATAACACTTTATAATAATTTAGGAAAATATAAACATGGCTTTTTAATATATATATATTTTTTTATTGATTTTAGAGAGGAAGGGAAAAGGAGAAAGAGATAGAAACATCAATGATGAGAGATAATCATTGATTGGCTGCCTCCTGCACATCCCACACTAAGGATTGAGCTTGCAATCTGGGCATGTTCCCTGACCGGGAATTGAACTGTGACCTCCTGCTTCATAGGTAGATGCTCAACCATTGAGCCATGCTGACCGGGCTAGACATGGTTTTTGTATTATTAGTATTTTTTAATCTATGAAAATATTTTTAAATTCACATAATAATTATGACCTTTAGTCTTAGAACTTGACATAATATCATGCTCTTCCTTTATGTTTTTATTTATTTTAAAGAGAAGGGAAGGGAGAGGGAGAGAGAGCTAGAAAAATCAATAAGAGAGAAACACCCATGAGCTGCCTCCTACACAACCTCTACTGGTGATTGAGCCCGCAGCCCTGACATGTGCCCTGACGGGGAATTGAACCTCTTGGTGCATGCCTGTATACTCAACCACTGAGCTATACTGGCCAGCTATCATGCTATTCTTAAGTCACCTGAAGATGTTTTATTAGCTCATTTTTTAATAATTGAAAATAATTATATAATGAGAAAAATATACGATTTTAATGAGACAGATAAAATACTTGAAATTGTTGGAACTACAGGTACTTGGAAGCACAAACTTGGGCATTTGTGTTAGCAGGTACTAAAATAGTCATGATTAAATAAAATTATAATTAATATACCCATCAGATCAATCTGTCATTATTATTCTAATTTCTTATTGATGACCTCAATATTTTGTCTTTGATACTGCCTAAGAGAATAAAGCAGTTGAATGCCATGTATATGTGTAACTTGTAACGTATATTTAAATATATTTCTCCCCTGTCTCAGATTGCTTGAAGAACCATTTCTGGCTCCTCTCCAGCCACTTTCTTCTAACACACCTATATGGGCCTGCCGTCTTAGGAGTTGTGAGGTGAGTTAAAAACAACTCTTACCTAGATTCACTTAATGAATTAAAATTCATCCCAAAATGTCCACCTTTTTTTGTTTCTTAATCCTCAACGGATGGTATTTTTCCATTGATTTTTAGAGAGAGTGGAAGGGAGGGGGAGAGATAGAGAGAGAGAAACACCCATGTGAGAGACACATCAATTGGTTGCCTCCTGCATGCACCCTGACCGGGCCAGGGATTGAGCCTGCAGCTGAAGTATGTGCCCTTGACTGGAATCAAATCGGTGATGCTTCAGTCTGCACGCCGATGCTGTATGCACTGAGCCAAACCAGCTAGGGCCCAAAATGTCTACTTTTGAAAACGACTAACAGAGGCTGTATCTCTCATCTATTCTTTTATTCCTTAGAGTTTGTATGATCTATTAAAGTAGAGATAATATAAATCTTCTCACTTCACTATCATTTCTTCCCTTGTCTTTCATGAAAATATAAACATGGCTTTTTAATATATATATACTTTTATAGATTTTAGAGAGAAAGGGAAAAGGAGAAAGAGAGAGAAACATCAATGATGAGAGAGAATCATTGATCAGCTGCCATCATTTTTCTCTACTTTTGATCTTTTGACCATTCCTTCTCTTTCTTTGCTTGTGCTTATTTATTTTCATCTTCTCAGTGGAAATTCTTCAAAGTTCACTGTTTGACCTTATTTTATTTCTCTACGTTTTATCCCTTGTACAGCTTATCAACTTTGTTGACTTTCAACTATCACTTTTATAAAAATCCCCAAGTATATATCACCAGTTTCTTCTTTTTTTATTTCATTTTATTGAATTTATTGAATGACATTGATTAATAAAATTATATGTTTCAGGTATACAATTCTATAATACATTATATGTATATTGTGTTGAGTGTATATACATACAGAGACATATATATACTTGTCTATATTCTAAGCATCTATATTCAAAAGGGGAAACCAAGTTAATTAGTAAATTCTGTGTCCATTAGATAAAAGTATTTATGCTAATTTCCACAAGCTAAGAAAAAGAAAAACCCATTACTTATTTTTGGCACTTAAGGTCAGACAGGAATTCCAGAGAAGGGTCTTCATGAAAAGAATGCTGATATAATGAACAAATTCTTTGACATCATTTTTAAATAAGATACATCACAGTTTTCATAGGTTTTCAAACAGATTCATGGCATAATATCAAAATCAGTTTCATTAAAGAAGCTCCACAGGGAACCAGTACCGTGTGGCTAGTTTTATGCTGATTTGGTTGGATATGGGGGGAGAATTTTAAGTATATGGAAGAATGGATACATGATATATTCTTCAAGCTATTTTCCTTAAAGATTATTTGTCTCTAACAAGATTTTGATAAAGTTAATGTGGCAGTGAGTTTGGCATTCTCTAACAAATACCTGGACAGTATCTATTTGATGACGCTAGTTGAATTCAGACCAGGTCTGCTGGTTGTAATAGACCATTGATCTGAAGGAGAAATCACATTGTCTTTTGAGAGCTGATGAGTCTTTTATCTTGGACAATCACCTCATTAAATTTTTTGTACAATGAAACATATTTGCTAATAATTTTGTTATTTAATTTTACTACATGCAGAAAATTGGAGATTCATACCGGGGCTACTGTGTAAGTGAGACTGAATTAGAAAGTGTTTTAACATTTCACAAGCAGCAAACACAGAGTGTTTGGGGGACTCGCCAATCTCCAAGCCCAGCCAAGCCAGCTACACGTTTGATGTGGAAATCCCAGTATGTCCCATATGATGGAATTCCATTTGTCAATACAGGTACTTTTTAAAAGAAATATTTTAAAAGGTTCAGCAGTAGCCATGATCCATTCTGAAACTGTGGTTTTCATTTTGGTAGATGATAACTAAATGTTAATTGATAAAAATGTATATTGAACTAAAAAGAATACTTAAAATAAACATAACCAATATTTGTAAAATTGCATTTTAATATATTCAATAAATCATGGTTCCTTTTGATATTATGCTGAAAATAAAAAATAATATTGAAATTCCAGGTATACCTCTTTAATAGAAATTAAACAGTAAGCAATTTTATTATCTTAAATATGTATATCTTGTGTTTTGTTTTTGTTTTTTTATCCAATCTCCAGATATTCTCTCCTCTTTTGATTTGTCTTGTGGTACAAATTTATGTCCATTTTATATAACCTATAAGTCTTGAGTTACTATATAGAATTGTGTATAATCAAGGGTTATATAGAATTTTAATATCAGGGTTCTCAAGCATCAGAAGCATTATATACAGTATTCTCAAACACTAGTGTTTACTAGAGCAGTAGAGTTTCAGACAATTCCCAGAGATTTACCCTAAGACCAGTCAGATCCCACAGAACCTAAAAATAAGTGATTTATTCCAGGACTATGTGGGTACTGATTCAGCTGGAAGAGTTGCAGCCTCATCCTGGACCTCTGAGGGTAAAAAGAAATACTTAGAGGAAGATAAGATAAAAGTAGCTTGTGCCCAGGTTTATCAGTATTGTACAAAAGAAATGCAACATTTTCCACTACCCTAGTTCTAATTCCTTTTTAACTCTTCACAAGTAGCTCTACGTGAATTTGGTGTGTATCTTTCAAGTCTGTTTTTATACTTTACCATACATGTTTGTATCTATGATTATATATTTTGTTGTTTTGAATATTTAAAAAATATATATAAATAGTAAACTGTAGACATTATTATGTACATTTTTCACTCACCCTTATTTTGAAATCTATCCATATTGATACTTATAGATCCCAGTTAACTCAACTTAGTTATTATATAATAGTCCAGCATATGACCAAAACACAATTACTTTTCTATAAATAATCATTCAGGTCTCCAGCTTTTCAATATTACAAATGCTATAGTCAGACCTCCACAATATACATTTTCGTAGAAAAGATGTAATTATGTGTTAAAGTGGAATTACTGAGTTGTGACTTATGCCCATTTCATCTTTACAAGATTCTCACAAGTTGTTCACTAAAGTGGTTGTATAAGTTCAAAAATCCCTTCTCTCAATTGTTTTTGGCCACATGTGTTTTAGAAGTTTGAATTTTTGGACTATAATAATGTAATGTTACAAAATACTTCTAGCATGTATTCTGTAGACAATCTATATATATAAAAGCCAAGCAACTGGAATGACTGGAATGACCGGTCGCTATAATGTGCACAGCAGCGGCCAACTGACCCCAATAGGCACCCCCAACCGCCCGCAGCCCCTCCCCCCGCATGGCCCCACCCGTGTTGGGTCTCTATATAAAAGGCTAATATGCTAAGTGTTCCTCTGCCCATCCGACTGGTTGATATGACACTCACTGACCACCAGGGGGCAAACGCTCAATGCAGGATCTGCCGTGATGTGCACTGGCCATTTACAAAGAAATGGCAGCCGTGGACCTGGTGCCGACAAAGCAACACTCGGCTTCCCCCAAGTGGGACTCGGGCCCCACCACCACCCCGGAGCGACAGCCCACCAAGTCACAGCCCATGCTGCGGTGGAGCAAAATGCGGCCCAGCCCAGCCCAGAAACGGTAGCCGTGGGCGCCAGGTAATGACATCATGTGGCAACGCCCAGCTTCCTCTCCCTAGTGACTACTAGCCTCCTTGGAGTTTCTTCAGCCCAGGAACACAACTTGCTTCATAGCCAGTACACTTTAACCAAATGTCTGTGAAGCATTTTCCCGTGCCTCATCTCATTTGATCCTCACAGAAGTCCTGGAGTAGGTAGATAGGAGACTCGGTGGAATCTTATTCTCTTTTCATTAGCCGGAAAACAGAGATTTAGAAAGCTTAGACACTTGACCCGCCTGAAAAGAAGAAATGGTGGACCTTGAAAATGACTTCAGGTTTTCTCACTAATCAAACAGTAATATTTTATGGATAGTCACACTAAGGAAGAAGTTTAAAAAGTTTGAGATCCCCTGGTATATAGTATATACTAAAGTATATGTCTCTAAAAGATAAGGACTCTTCCTCTCTTTCTCTCTACATATATATATATATATATATATATGTATATGTATATGTATATATATATGTATATATCCTATATAATAAAGAGCTAATATGCTAATTAGACTGGATGGCTGAACAGCAGAATGACCTTCCGGACGACCTTCCAGACAAAGCTGGGGCTGCGAGGGCCTACTCTTGCACAAATTTCATGCATCAGGCCTCTAGTATATATGTATATGGAGAATCCCATTATCATGCTTTAAAAGAATTACCAGTAATTTCTTAATGTCATAAAATGTCCAATGTTTCCATTCTTCCATTTATCTCAATTCTTTTTTCCATAGGTTTGTTCAGATTCACATCCAAACAGAGGTCAAAGATTATATTTGGTTAACATATATCTTATATTTATTTTTATCTAAAAATTTCTATCCTGTTTCACCTCAGATAGTTTGTTCTGTAGAGTTTGCCATATTCTGGATTTTGCTGGTTCTATCTCTGTGGTGTGATTTAACATGTCCTTTTATCTCATCTACTTCCTATAAACTGTTAGATTTAGAGGCATAATTAAGTGAAGATTCAATTTTCATAAAAGTATTTTTTGCATGAATACTTCATAAGTTCTGCCTCCTTATTGCTACCTATGTGTCACACCTTTTAGTGATGTTAACTTGATCAGTAGAGTCAGTTTTTTTAGATTATTGTCAATTTTTGCCATTTGAGGAATGTGAGATAGTATTTTACTATTGTTTCAATTTGTATTTCCCTCTTTACTAGTGAAGTTGAACATCTTTTTGTTTGTTAGTTTGATATCCTTTTTCTTTCTGAATTGCCTTTTCTTAGCCTTTGCCCATTTTTCTGTTTGATTGTTTCTTTATTTCAAAAAATTATTTATGGTTCTTCATATCTGCATTTTAATCTTTTGTTATGTCTTATAAAATACTGTTTTTCAAACTGTTGTTTTTACTTTACCTTTATTTATGGTGCCTTTTAAATACAGGTTTTACATTTTAATGTCAGCTTTATCAACATTTTAATTTATGATTTGCATTTTTGTTTTTATATTTTAGAAGTTTGCTGTACCCTAGAATAGGATATTCAACTTAAAATCTTAACTGTATAGTTTTTACATCTACTTATTTGTATTATCTATTACTGTGTAACAAAGTACCCCACACTTCAGGCTGAAAACAACAAGCATTTTTTACCTCACAGTTTCTGGGGGTCAGTCGTCCAAGAATGGCTTAGCAGGTGGTTCTGCCTTAGGTTCTCTCACAAGACTGCAGTGAAGGTGTGGGCTGGAGCTGCAGTCATCTCGTGGGTGCCTGGGGGGATCTGCTTCCAAGCTCACGCATGCAGCTGGTAGCAGACCTTATTCCTTGCCACAAGAGCTGCCTCTACACAGAGCTGCCTCGCTACGTGACGCTGATTTTTCCCAGAGAGAGCAACCCAAGCAAGAGAGTATTCAAGACGGAAGTCACAGACTTTATAAATAACCTAATATAAGAAATAATGTCCTGTCAATTCAGCTATGTTCATTGGAAGTTAGTAAGTCTAGCCCATGGTCAAGGGGAGGGAATCACACAAGGACATGAGAACTAGGAGGCAGGGATCATTGGGGGCCATCTTAGTGACTGGTTATCACATTATTCTAACAGCCCAAATAGAAAAAAGGAAATAAGTAATTATAAAAGGAAATATAATTTTAAATGACATTATTTGTTCACAAATACAGCATATACTAATTTCTATTTATAAAATGGTAAATTTTATTATTAAAATCATATGTATGTTATAAATACCAGTTGACATTCAGTAAATGTAGTATTTACTCATTTACTTAACATAATATGGTACGTTTGCTAAATATTATAATCAACTTTTAAATTTATTTGTACACTTTATTTTAATAAGTCGTATTGCTGTATTCTTTCCTTAAAGTTGTGTAACGAAGTATAGATTTTGATATAGCCACCACCAAGTTATTTTTAATCTAGTATCCAGATTGGATAGATACTTGATATAATAGCAGTAGTTGGTCTTGGCCCACAGGGAGTAGAGCCGTGGTAATGGAGTGTCAGTATGGGCCAAGGAGAAGAGGTTTCCAGTTAAAAAAGATCAGTGAGCAGGAAAGCAGGCCTTGTCACCTCTACAAAGCCACTTGTCCAGCCCGGTAAGCTTTCATTTCTTTTATTTATTTCTTATTAAGTACTTATTTTTGAATAGCTAATATTCACTTTTTAATGTTTTAGCAGCTCCAAAAAATATACAGTGAAATCTGACTTTCTTCTTACCCTTGCTCCCTTGTCCCTCTTTAAAGCAGCAACTCTTACCAGTTTCTTGAATAACCTTCCAAAGTTATTCTGTGTATATGAATATATATATACATATATATGTGTGTGTGTGTGTGTATTCATATGCATATATATTCTCCTTTACTTTCGTGTGTGTGTGTGTGTGTGTGTGTGTGTGTGTGTGTGTGTATATATATATATATTTATTCTCCTTTACTCTCATAAATGTTAAATAGCTCAGTAAAGCTTACTAATATTATCTTTTTTTAAAGTTAGGTAGGAGTGGACCTTCTTTCCTTCTATAAATTCACATTGATTTATTTTCATTCTGAATGCCTATTGTGATTGTTTACTGTACAGCTATTATGCTTCAGACTAGTTTGAATGTAATGATATATACTACTCTACACTTTGCTTTTCTTGATTCCAAATATATCTGAAAACTGCCATGACTGTATATAAAAGCACTGGCTATTTCTTTAAAAATTTTTTTTAAGTTTACTTTTAAATTTGAGATATAATTTACATATAACATATTAGTTTCATGGCTCCTTCTTTTTAATAGCCATATAATAGTCTATTTATAGATAAATTATCATTTACTTAATTAGACTTGTAAATTTTCAGCTGATTTTTACATAGGGTAATAGATCTAAAACTTTACATGTAACTTGGGAGAAAAATTTCTATATGTGAAGAAATACTTTTATTCTCTATTTTTCTATAAGTACTTCCTAAGTATCTACTCTGTGCCCAGTAACTACGTTTGGGTGCCATGGGAAGTAGGGAGACTAAAACAGGTATAAGATTTTTCTTAATCGCCCTAGCCGGCTTGGCTCTGTGGATAGAGCGTTAGCCTGCGGACTGAAGGGTCCCAGGTTCGATTCCGGCCAAGGGCACATGCCTGGGTTGCAGGCTCAATCTCCAGTGGGGTGCGTGCAGGAGGCAACCAATCAATGATTCTCTCTCATCATTGATGTTTCTATCTATCTCTCTCCTTCTCCCTTCCTCTCTGAAACCAATAAAGAAATATATTTTTTAAAAAAAGATTTTCCTTAATCATGGAGAACTTAAAATATTGTTGGAGTAGATCAGTAAACAACACCTTTAGAGAACTTAATAGTATATAGTATGGATTAGCTAACTATCTTCAGAGAGAGAATATAACCATGCAAATATATTAATAGGACAGAAAGTATGGAAAGCCTGGGTGCTGAGGTTTAGATTGAATTTGGATAGGTAGAGAGTTAAAGGAAATAAATTGTAGGCTAAGAGGACTATATAAATAAAGATAGGCATGATTGTATATTTGCTACTAGTATTAGAGGAAGAAGGATGATTTCTCCATTGAAATGATATAACCTTCATAGGAAAAGCAATTTTATATTTGAGGTAATTGAAAGTAAGATTAGGTAAAAAGTGCCTTAGCTGGTTTGGCTCACTGGATAGAGTGTCAGCCTGCAGACTGAAGGGTCCTGGGTTCAATTCCAGTCAAGGGCACATGCCTGGGTTGTGGGCTTGATCCCCAGTAGAGGGCGTGCAGGAGGCAGCTGGTCAATGATTCTCATCATTAATGTTTCTCTCTCCCCCTCTCCCTCGTCTCTGAAATCAATAAAAAAAAAAAAAAGAAATATATATATATATATATATATATATATATATATATATATATAAAGACTAGGTAAAAAGCTAGAATCATATGGAATGCCTTGAATGCTGCTAAGAAATTTTATTTCATTAAAGAGCAGATAGATTCTTTAGTAGAGAAGTGCAAATGTGAAGAATTATTGTGGCATTGATGTATCAAGTAGATTTAAGTAATGAAAGACTGAATGTCCAGAGGCCAGAAGGAGGCTAGTAAAGTAATCCTGGTGTGAGGTAATGATGGCTTCCAGAAGAATGAATAAGTGGCAAATCCAGAAAAAAAAAAAAGCTAATATCCAGAAGTATTTAGGTATTTTTACTGAAATTATGATTATTGTTAATTTGCTAAGTATTATGAAGCACTGAGAATATAGCATGTCTTTCACATAATCCTCTGAGTGCTTTCTAGAATAATTGAATTTTTTCTAAATTTTAATGCTTCAAATAAACTTTTGGTTGATAAATTAGGTTTTCTTGAGATTTCAATATAATAAAAAATTCTCTTTTTTCTTATAAAAAGAATTTACATTAAAAAGGTACAAAAGTTTCCTGAATATAGAGTTCCTACAGACCCCAAAATTGATAAGAAAATTATACGAATGGAGCAAGAGAAAGCCTTTAACATGCTAAAGAAGAACTTGGTAGATGCTGGTGGTGTTTTTAGGTATGACATTTATATGATGATATTTTATTTTATAAATTAATTAGCTCCATTTGCAAGAATTCCTTCTGTAAGAGAAATAATAATTATGGTTTCCAGTTATTTTATTAACGGTTTTTATAAGGTGGATGCCTCACTAGTAGTTCCCTAAGTATTAAAATGATTTGACACTGTATAAGCCAGAGGTGAGGAACCTTTTTTCTGCTAAGGGTCATTTGGATATTTATAACATCATTTGCAGGCCATACAAAATTATCAACTTAAAAATTAGCCTGCTAGAGAATTTACTAGTACATGCATATATGCATAGCCCATGGATACAGACAATAGAGTGGTGAAGGCTTGGGTGGGGGTGAGGGTGGGGTGGAGGCGATCAATGGGAAAGAAACATGAACAAACAAAGGGGACATATGTAATACTTTCAACAATAAAGATAAATTTTAAAAAAGAAAAACAAAGAAAAAAATTAGCCTGCTATATTTGGTCAAACATTTAATTAACTCACCCCTAATGTCTTGGCAGGGCCAGACCAAATGATTTCGTGGGCCTTTTATGGCCTGCAGGCCATACGTTCCCCACCCCTGGTATAAGCCATTGAGTTTATCAGCCAGATATCATGGCTAAATTTTACCAAACAATTCTGTATACCATAAGGAAGTTTTTTTCCAAAATGACAAATACATTTTTAGCAACACATTTCACTATATACTGTATTTAGTACTTTGTTTTAGATACTTATTAGGAGCCAAACTTGTAGTTACTTGAATATTTTTTTAACCCACCTTTGATTACTTGTGGCAGCCAGAAATGAATCCTAAGCCCTAAAATTCTGTTTTATATCTTTTATACTAAGGTTTTAAAATTTTTTAAGTTTAATTTAATTTTTTAGTAAATTTATTGTGTGACATTGGTTAATATAATTATATAGATTTCAAGTGGAGTTTTCTGTGATACTTGATATGTATATTACACTATGTGCTCACCACCCAAAGTAAAATCATCTTCTGCCCTCATATTTGGCTCCCTAAGGTCTTAAATAAGAAGAAATATTAGTTTTCTTTTATGTATCAGTCTAGAATTTGCAATTGTATAATGGGGTCAAGGGTATGGGTCATAGTTTTTGTATGATCTTTAAAAAAACTTTCAGATGTATGAAAAATAAATAAACTCAATAATTAGATCCTTCAGTTTGGAGAACATTGCATATAACTTTTAATTAAGTAGGCTCCATTTTATGCAATATCAGTCATTGCAAACATTTTGTACAGATATATCAATTAAAACAGTATCCTACCAGATTGTTTCATTTTCTTAGCATTTGTTTTGTGCACTGCACTATTGTATGAGCGACCTTTTAGTCTTATTCATTGGGTAACAGGAGCTGGAATGCTGTATAGGCAGTTTGTTGAGCTCCTGTCAGAGACAGTTCTCCCACATAGCTCAATCTTGTGTCCACTTTTTGGTTGGAAGAATAATAGGTGCAACACAGGGGTTGTAATCTGGGGACAAAACGGTAGACGAGTGGGAAAGTACACAATTCAAAAGATGATGTTATAAAAAGTCTCATTATTTTGAGGTGAAATTTACTTAATAGGAGATTTAAAATGCCATTTTCATATATATTTAAATCCTGTGCTTTCCTTAACTTTAGGGCCATAGTAAAAAGTCTGTTAAAAAAAAAAAGATTTTTATGTAATTGGGTTTAAAACCAATCTTAGAAAAGTTAAGCAGAGGGCAATTTAAATTTATGTTTAATATGATATAATAATATATAATTTTTTCATAAAGGATTATTCCTTCTCTTGATAAGTATTAACAGATGTAATTATGATTCTTGCCTTTGTCTAGTAATATAATTTTAAAATTTTCTTTTTTCAGGTGGTACGTACAGTTACCTACACAGCAAGCTCATCAGTATCACGAATTGGAGACTCCCTCCCTCCCTTTGTCACCTTCCCCTTTTCCTGTGTCCTCTATGGAAGAAGAGGAAACTGCAATTAGGGATGAGAATTGTACATTACCCTCACGTCTACATCCTCAAGTAGCACATAAGATTCAAGAATTAGTATCACAAGGAATAGAACAAGTGTATGCAGTAAGGAAACATCTAAGGTATAGTAGAAACAAATTGCTTGAATATGTTTTTCATTTTTGTTTGTTGATTTAAGTAATACACTTAATATTATAGAAATTTTCAGTAAATATGCCATTAGAGTGCTTTCCACAGTGGCTTCACCAATCTGCATTCCCACCAACAGTGCATAAGTGTTCCCCTTTCTCAGCATACCAACCAGTACTTGTTATTTGTTAACTTATTGATGTTAGCCATTCTGATAGGTGTGAGGTGATATCTTATTGTGGTTTTAATTTGCATTTCTCTGATAATTAGTGACATTGAGCATCTTTTCACTTGTCTATTGGCCATCGGTATGTCTGCTTTGAAGAAGTATCTATTCAGGTCATTTTCCCATTTTTTATTTAACTTATATTATTTGTTTTTCTGATGTTGAGTTTTATAAGATCTTTATAAATTTTGTCATTAACCCCTAATCAGATGTATTGGCGAATGTGTTCTCCCATTCAGTGAGTTGTCTTTTCATTTTATTGATGGTTACCTTTACTGTGCAAAAACATTTTAGTTGATTTAATCTCATTTGTTTATTATGTATTTTTATTTTTCCTTGCCTGAGGGGATAGATCAGAAAAAAATACTGCTATAAGAAAGATACTAGATTTTAGTGACTATGTTTTCTTGTAGGATTTTTATGGTTTTGAGTGTAACATTTAAGTATAGAACCAAAGATTTTAAAACCTCTAGGTCACGGTACTTATTTTAAGCTATTTGAAATATAATATATTTTATTACAGCAGAAGAATATGGATAGTTCTTTGTCTAATGAAATTTTATATGTAGCACTCTGGTCTAATTTTATTGATACTCAGGATATAATAATTACTAGTAACTATTATTGTCATGTGGCACTTACCATGTGTGTGCCAGGTGTTATGCTATGTACATGACATGCATGAACTTGTTTATTCTTACTACTATAAAATTGGTATATTTTTCCTCATTCTGCAGATGAGAAAATGGTTAAATAACTAGCTTAAGAGATAGAGGCAGAACTGCAACTTAGGTCTGAATCTACAGCCTGTAGTCTTTGCCATGATTTCTTGTACTTAATTGACCTGTTTGTACTCGTTGTTGTGTAGTTTGATCTGAATAACCTAATGAGTATTTTCTAGGATTATTCCTTAATTAATACATTACTTTATTATTTAGCAGATTTCTTAGACATTTTATATTTATTTTCATTGAGGCATTGTTAGACTAGAACCAGAACTTGATAAAGCAATCCACTATTTACTAAACCTGTATTTTAAAGAACAGAGGTATAATACAGCTCTGCGATATGGTCTACCTAATGCAATGCACAAAATTTTATATATTAATTTCTTTTATGTATCTATTTTTATATAATTATATGGCAATACTGCCTTCTATTTCTATCTTCTGTTTTGTCTACTTGTAAAATGCAAGGAGATCATATTTTATATGATATTAATTGATGCCTTTTAGAAGCAACATAACATGATATTTATGCAGATAATCTGAGTGAGAGCCCAAGGTCTCTTACTTACTAGGTAAGTGTACAATTTGGGGCAGATTACTTAACTTCTGCAACCTATCAGTTTCCTTATCCATAAAGTGGGAATGCAAAGAATTATATTAAGGGTTTGAGTAGATACTTGATGTGAAGTGTACAGTGCAGTGCCTGACCTAGTAGGCATTCAAAAACATCCTTAAATTGAAAATAGTGATTCCTTTAAATCATAAAAATGTAAAGCTCACTCTAAGATATACAGTTGTTTAACCAATGTAAATATTACATTTCTTTAATCACATGAATTCTATGATTTAAGGTAGGGAAATGAAAATGGAAAAAGTTAAAGTACTTATAAAGCTATAAACCATGTTTTATACTAGTTTATGCTAAAAAGAGAACCTTCTCTCATGTGATCTAAAGTAAATCGCTAGATTATGTTTTATTCTATTTTATATTATCTACAGAAAATTTGTGGAAAGAGAACTGTTCAAATCTGATGAGGTACCTGAAAGACATAATTTATCCTTTTTTCCAACTGTAAATGATATAAAAAATCACATCCATGAAGTACAGAAATCCTTGAGAAATGGAGATAATGTATCTAACTCAGAGATTATTCCAGCAACGGTATGATTACAACTGTAATTCCTTGTTTTATTACATAATCTTTCTCAGCCTCCATTACTATTTGGACTAATAGGGATGATTGCAATTAGGCCATGTAAGTAACTATGATATAAGAGAAAATAGGGGTATTTTTCTTAAAACGTAAATACTGTGAACTCTTAAATGATGATTTAACTAAATCTGTTTTTTGCTTTCACAAGAAGAAAAACCAGTGAATATCCAACTCTGACTATAATAATAGTAATAGTAATCTTTATTTTAAAATCAGCATAGTTTATCTCTGTAAAAAGTATACCTTATTCATTCAACAGACAGTTATTGATTACATGCTATGTATATTTTCCCCTCTTTAAGTAGGTGGGTAAATTTAAATAGAATAGTTCACACTTGAATAAACAAAGTAATAATGTTCTATATTCCACCTATGGATATTAACCCTTTGCGGTCCAATTTTATTTTTGGAATTCAAATAGTCTGGTCCAAATTAATTGACGGGATTGAACGTTGAACCGGTTTGCGGTGTCAACCTCAGCCTCGACATTGGACCTGCTCCTAGCGCCTGGTCTGTCGAGTTAGCCTCGACGTTGGACCGAAAAGGGTTAATGTTACTTCATACTGTGATAGTTTCCCTCTGAATATTGGTAATTTCTATGAAAATTTTTCCTGCTCTGAAGAGATTAATATAATTACCCAGAAACTAGTCATTGTAATGCAGGTAGTGATTATGGCATTAAAATATCAGCAACAGTATTCTTTGTTCTCCACATTTTTACTATCCAAATTCAGTAAATGAATAGATTAATAGATTCAGATTTTTTTTTAAAGCTAGAGCTACTAGTCTTTTCTATTCAAAACTCTTAATTATTCTTTATCCCAAATTCAGGAATGAAAACAGGTTTGTTTAGCAACAGTCTTTGCCACCTACACTTTCTAACCAGTCTTGCTATCTGAACTTGGGAAGCTAATGCATTTAGTTAGTGAAGTATACTTGTGCTTTGAGAATATAAACAAGTGAAGAGAATAATTACAGAATAAAACATAATTATACTATGACGGAATATGACAGTTGTATTGCTGTTTTAAAATATTTTTTAATATTCTACTGAAGTGAATGTTCCCTTTTTAGCTTCAGTGGACTACAGACAGTGGGAATATTCTCAGAGAGACTGTGACAGTAACATTTGCAGAAGGTAGGTTATCTTAATACCTTTAAAAATATAAAATCAAACAATGTTAAAACTGGAAGACATTTAAGATAGTATCTCATCTAATAAAATTTAATGGATAAGGAAATCATGGCTCAAAGAGAAAAGAGTAACTATGTTAGGACTTATCAAAATAATTCCAGCTATTTAAATTCCCTCTTATAATCAGCTCTTATGCTTCTTTATGATTGAAATTTGAGTCTGATTACTATCACAGTTTACTGTAAAGTTAGGTTAATTCCAGTACTAATACTAAGATACTCTGATCAGGAAACTGATTTTTCTCATATGTTCTAACTCCTCTGTTCTCTCAATAGCCCAAACTTATTTCAACCCCTTTGTTCTCTCTTTTGGAAATGTCTTCTCTCTCTTCTGCATGGCAAACTCCACTCACTACTCAAATAATAATCTCTTTGGCTGTAAGTGCTTTCTTAACTTCACCCCCTGTATAAAGTTAGCTATTTACTCCTTTGTATTTACCTCTTCATTTAACATGGTATCCTTTTGTTTACACATCTGTATCCTTCATTATGATTTGATCTCCTCAGGGGTACAAGGATTGTATTTTATTCAAATTAATATACCTAGTTCATAGCATGATGCCTGCTAAAAAGTTAACACCTAAAAAATGCTTTAGAATAAATTTATGAATAACTATATACAATACAATTATTTCTTTTTTTAATCTTTATTGTTCAGATTATTACAGTTGTTCCTCTTTTTGCCCCCCATAGCTCCCATCCACCCAGTTCCCACCCCACCCCATGCCCTTATTCCCACCACTGTCCTCGTCCGTCTATAGGTATAAAATTGTTGTCCAATCTCTTCCCGCACCCCCCACACCCACTTCCCCCCAAGAATTGTCAGTCCACTTCCTTTCTATGCCCCTGATTCTATTATATTCACTAGTTTATTCTGTTCATCAGATTTTTTATTCACTTGATTTTTAGATTCACTTGTTGATAGATATGTATTTGTTGTCACTTTGTTGTTCATAATTTTTATCTTTACCCTTTTCTTCTTCTTCCTCTTCTTAAAGAATACCCTTCAGCATTTCATATAATACTGGTTTGGTGGTGATGAATTCCTTTAGCTTTTTTCTATCTGTAAAGCTCTTTTATCTGACCTTCAATTCTAAATGATAGCTTTGCTGGGTAGAGTAATCTTGATTGTAGGTTCTTGCTATTCATCACTTTGAATATTTCTTGCCACTCCCTTCTGGCCTGCATAGTTTCTGTTGAGAAATCAGCTGCCAGTCATATGGGTACTCCCTTGTAGGTAACTAACTGTTTTTCTCTTGCTACTTTTAAAAGTCTCTCTTTGTCTTTTGCCCTTGGCATTTTAATTATGATGTGTCTTGGGGTGGTCCTCTTTGGATTCCTTTTGTTTGGGGTTCTCTGCGCTTCCTGGAGTTGTAAGTCTATTTCTTTCACCAGGTAGGGGAAGTTTCTGTCATTATTTCTTCAAATAGGTTTTCAATATCTTGCTCTCTCTCTTCTTCTGGCATCCCCATAATTCGGGTGTTGGTATGCTTGAAGTTGTCCCCTAGGCTCCTTACACTATCTTCATATTTTTGGATTCTTTTTTCTTTTTGCTTTTCGGGTTGGGTGTTTTTTGCTTCTTCATATTTCAAATCTTTGACTTGATTCTTGAGACCCTCTAGTCTGCTGTTGGATCTCTGTACATTATTCTTTATTTCAGTCAGTGTATGCTTAATTTCTGCTTGGTCCTTTTTCATATCCTGGAGGGTCTCACTAAATTTCTCAGATGTTTCTAGAAGATTCTTGAGTAACCTTATAACCATGGTTTTGAACTCTATATCCAGTAGTTTGCTTTCCTCCATTTCTTTCGTTTGTGACATGTTTCTTTGTCTCCACATTTTGGCTGCTTCCCTGTGTTAATAGAGTGGCCTTGTGTGGTAGGTGTCCTATAGGGCCCAGTGGCTCAGCCTCCACAATCACCTGAGGTGGACACTCTTGGTGCACCCCTTTGTGGGCTGTGTTCACAGTCTTGTTGTAGTTAATTAAGCCTTGATTGCTGTTGGTATCACTGGGAGGAATTGACCTCCAGGCCAATTGGCTGTGAGGACCAGCTATGTCTGTAAGGGGAGAACTGCTGTGCTGGAGACACCCTTATGTGGCAGGACTTGCTTCAGTGAGGCTTTGGTGCTCACTGAGTCTGCCCCTTGAGTGTGTCGCTTATGGATGTGAAGAGTTGTAATCTGGTATAGTCTCACACTGACCACTGGGTACACTGGCTCTTGGATCTCCAAGGAGGTGCAAAGTCAGCCACTGCCTGAGGCCACCCAGCAGGAGCTACAGAGAGATCTGCAGATTCCTCCTTTGTTTGGGGCTTGGAAGTGCCCAGATGAGGCGCAGCTGTGAATCAAGGCAGGCTGCTGCTGCGGAGCCTTGGGCCTTCTTTTGGAAGTTTTGGAGCTCTCTGACCCAGCTGCAGTTTGTTAGGTTAGGCTGCGAAAGAACAGGCCATTCATATGCAAAAGCCTCTGCGCACAGCTTGGGTGGGGTTGTAAATTGGGTGGGGCAGTGTCTCAGGGAATCACCAGAGCGAGCAAACAGCAATGGCTGCCAGTCAGCCCTGCGCCGGGGAGGTTCCTGCATCTCCGTGTCTTCGCATTCCGTGCCCCGACGCAGGAACAATGATCGCTGCAAGCACCTCTGAGAGAAAGCCGCCCTCGTGTTCCTGTCCCGATGCTAGACAGTCCAGTTTCTCCCTGTATGAGTCTGGGTCCCCAGGGTCTCGCCGGGAACTGGAGTTCAGAGCAATAGGGAGCTTGTATCTCCCTCCCGATTGAAAAAAACAACAGCGCACCCAGTTGCCAGCCTGTTTCACACATGCCTCCACACTTCCGCCCCTCCTACCAGTCTCATTGTGCTTTTTTCTTTCCTTTTGGTTGTAGAACTTCCACTCAGCCAGCTTTCCTATGGTTCTGGATGATATTTGTTTTGTCTTTAGTTGTAGTTTTGATGTGGTTGTGAGAGGCAGCAAGTACTGGTGTTTACCTATGCCGCCATCTTGGTTCTCTCACAATTACTTCTTTATTCTTGGGCATATTAACCTTTGAGTCACTGACTACAGATAACTTTCAAATTCTTTAGCATTATTCATTTGTTCTGTGCATATTTCACTCAAGGTGATAAATGGCAGGCCTAATGGAGAACAAGTAAGTTTCTTTCTTAATTAAATTGAAAGTTTAGCAAGAGAAAAAGATACCAAACAATATGTTCTAATTAATCACTATTAGGGAAAGCATCATGAGAGAGTTTTGCAAAATTTTGTGGCAATAGTGATAGAGACATATAACAGTCCAGGGAGTAGGGAAGTGACACTTGAGAAAGTGACTTTTAGACTAAGAACTGAAGAATAAATAGGAATTTGACCATCAAAAAAATAGCATGTTCGAAGGCTAAGCAAGATAGAGCTTGTCATATTCAAGGAATTAAGAGAGTTAGTGTGGTTTTCAGCATAGATAATGCTTGGAGATAAAATTGAATAAGCAAAACAGGTCTAGGAGGCTCTTTCAGCTGTGCCTTTGAAATATGACGCTGGTTTAACAGGGAGCATTCATATTGGAGGTGGACAGATTTAAGAGTTATTTTAAAAGTAGAACTAAAGGCCTTGGTTATCAATTGAATAGGTGCATGAGGTAAAAGAGTGGGAATAATCTAGAATGATTCCTGAGTTTCTTCCATGAGCAGCTGTCAAATAGAGGCATTTACTGAGCTCAGTAACACTGGCATAAGAATAGGTATTGGTGACCACAGGGGAGAGTGAAAAAGATCATGAGACCAGGTTTGGAAAGCTTTCGTATCAGAGCCCTTTCAGTAGAGTGGATTGGTGGAAGCCATGTGGGTGGATGAAGAGTGAATGGGAGATGAAGAAATAGAGACAGTGTGGCCTACTTTTTCAAGAAGTTTGCTATGAAGGGTTTATGGGGTTGAGAGAAGGCATTTTAAGACAGGAGAGATCTGAAGAAATAGGTGAAGATGAAGATATTTGATAGCTTTGGTGGTGGGAAGTTGAAGAAATTTCTATCTGATAGCTTTTCTTTTCTCTTTGAAGTAAGAGTGCTAAAAATGAGAGAAGATCTCAGGAAGGGTGGCCAAGATTTTAAGACAATGGAGATTAGATACCATTCCTAATACAGAGAAAGAGAAACATTGTAAGGTTGTCACATACAGGTGACCGTCAGGTTGATGTTGATGATCATGAATTGGTTTTGGTAGTAGCCGTGAGTTTCTTCTTCAGTGGCATTTGGCTTCACATGTATAGGCAGTGGAAGCCATTTTCATCCAGAGTTAGGGTTTTACTATGTGGGTATGACCCAAGGACAGAGAGACAAGAGGGTTCAGGATATTTCCAAGAGTGTGACTAAAATTATAAACCCAGCACGCTAAGCTGGATGGGGAGATAACTTTATTAAGAAAGAGGTTGATAGATCTGAAGAAAACTGAGGAATCACTTGACTGGAGGTTCACATGAGGTTGAAGAACAATTAGTAATGGAGTACCTGAGCAAAAATACCTGGGAGGATAAGAAGTTGTGATCAGAGAATGGGATGTTTGAATTAGAGATTTTAGATGTAGAATAGTCCAGGGTATGACCATAGTAGTCATAGCAGAATGAAGTAGAAGGACAATTAGAAATGAAAAAGGCAAGAAATGTGAGAGTCCTGTTTAATCCTCTCAGTCGTCCTTTGAGGAAGATTCCCTTATTATCCTTATTTTACAGATGAGGAAACTGAAGTTTAGAAATTGGGTTAAATAGCATGGTGAAGGTTACAGAAAAAAGCCATCCTTGTCTGACACCAGTGCCATTTATGAAAGCAATAAATGGCTGTTGGTAATTGGTTTTTGATTGATTTAAAATGATGAATATACTTGGGTTAACATAAGAATTACATGAGAAGGAATCAAATTCCCTAAGGACAACTTACTTTACAAATTGAAATATTGAGAAAACATTTGTTCCTTAATGAATTATTGAAAGAAATTTTATACTGTTATTATTGAGGCCCTACTTTATACCAGGCATTGTCCTAGGGCTACCAAAGATGAGTTAAGTTTGGTCCGTGTAATTGAGAGGTTCAATAGTTTTCTCAGATTTAGAGAAGTTTAGGTATGATCCAGAATCATGGCATGGAAAATGGACTTGATTAGAGTTACAGATGTAGAGTCTTTCAAGGAAAAAAAAATTATTTCCTTTTCCAGTATATCCTAGATGTACTGAATTAAATTTAATAGAGGTTGAACCTAGGAATTTATATATTTTTAAAGTTCCCTTAGTGATTCTGATAATCTACCAAGTTCTGGAAATAGTGGACTAGATAACTTCTTAAAGTTCTTTTCAAACCTTTGACCTTATTTCATGATAGTTAAGGTTGTAATTAAGTCTAGTATCCTAGAAGCCGTACATTTTTTTGTTTTAATAGTTTATTTTTTATATAATTTAGGAAATTCACCAGAAGAATCGTCTACCACCAAAGTGGAAACAAATCAGACAAGGGGTTCTTTGTCTCCAGAATCAGCCCATTTGCTCTCCTCCTCACATTCTTCATTTCAGCCAAAAATATTCACACAACTACAGGTAGAAATTCAGTAAAATAGCCAAATTTGAGACCTTTTTCTTCTTTCTTCAACCTCCCTTCCCCTCCTCCTCCTCCTCCTCCTCCTCTTCTTACAGATTGGTTATAGAATTATAATAATGATCAAAGATGTTTTCATTGTTAATTTCCTGACTTTTTGTATCTTGATTTAAAATGATAATTTAAACAGTACATTTTGAAAAAGTTTGAGTGGACTATGCATGCAATAAAATTTAGTTTTCCTACTTTTCCTTTGGTTCTTATTTCTGTCCTCACATAATATTTGTTTACAACTGTACTCTTATATTTTATTCCGATTTTGTGTCAAAAGAATAATATAGCCTATGAGAACTTTTATATAGTAAATTCAAACGTTTTGATGTAACTCTTTTTGATTTAAAAGGGTTTACAGTTGCAACCAAGATTCACTTCTCCTGATGGATCACCGGCTCTGATATCAGTAAATGACCACCTCTCCTCTAGTCCTTCAAGACTTCTGGATTCAATACGAAGTACTGTAATAAATAATAATTCTCTACAGTGTGGTCAGAGTCATGGCCTTCAAACAGATACATGCCTTACCCCAAACAACAGTATTGCCTCTACCATGGGTAACCTTCCAGCACCAGATCAAAATGTGGCTGCAGTGGATCAGCTGGTGGACGTTGGAGATGCTGAGGATACAGAGAATCTGGAAGGAAGTGTTCATCGGTTTCTGTTGGGAAATGTACAGACCATTCCAATACAAATTATAGACAGCCACCCACCTCTTAGTAAGTTAAAATCATCTTAAGATTTTTTTTAAAACACTTTATGAGCTATCGTCACTGCACTACAGAAAAAAAAAACCTATCATTTCTACTCAGTGGGTTTGTAATATGTAAAGAAATCAAGTAAAGCTATGAGAAAAAGGGAAAACATTTTATGAGCATATGTTTTAATAGCAAACTTATTTTTTTTCTCTACTGTAATTATTCATTAATTACCTATCTTTACATGGAAAATCTGTGGTAATGTTAGATCAGGAAAATCTATGGTGATGTTAGAATTCATGAAAAATTAAACTTTAAAGGGAAAACTAGTGAAAAGGTTATTATAGAAAAATTAATATGCACATAATGAAAATGGAATGAAGTGGGCAGATATAAAGATTTAAAGGATAATTTTGAGTTATAGACTTAAATGTTGAGTTCTGTGGAATTTGAAAGGGGACTTGGGTATAATACATGACTTTGTTACTTTCACTTTGTAATGAGCCCAGTCAACATAGTAATAGACTGTTAACTCCTACTTGACCTATGTCACTTCTTTTTCCACTAATTGTTCTGGATTGGGCAGTTTAGTGGGAAAAGATTTGCAGTTTGCTTTGAAAAGCAAAATCTTCATAGAAATTATCCTTAGAACATATATTTTCCCTACATTTTTAATCATCATTCTTCCGGGTAAGGAAAAGTGTGAAGTAGTTCCTTCCAGAAAGTAATTATTGTCTTTTAAATTTATTTGAGATATTACTTTTGGGGGGGGGGGTGGTTAATCCTCACCCTAGGATATTTTTCCATTGATCTACTGGGGATCGTCCCGCAACCTGGCCATGTGCCCTTGACTGAAATTGAACCTGGGACCCTTCAGTCTGCAGGCTGACACTCTAGCCACTGAGAAACACCAGCCAGGGCTATTCTGAAATATTTTAGATCAGCAAACACATAGCTCATGCAGAACTATTGTTTTAAGTTGTGGTATTTTTTCTAAAGTACTTATATAGTGAAGTTTCTTTAGAGAGGGAACATTTTCTTAATATATGACTACATGTGAAAACCATATGGCAATGGAAACACATTTGTGAATTTATGATACATATGCCTGCTGTTTGCAAAACAAGTTATTTTGAAATAATGGGAGGCTTCTTAACTTTTAGTCACAGATGCTTTTACAGTTATGTTTAAATATTAGTTATTCCTTATAATTTTATCACATTATGGACTACGTTTTTGTCAAAGTATCTTCAGAGGAGAATAACTTCATAGATTTCTTGTCTCTTCCTTTTTTCATTACTTGAAGCATACTGAAGGAATGTAACATGAATGGCTATTAAGATGTCAGAAGCACTAAATTCTCAAATATACCAACTGCCTTTCTAAGTTACCTAGTTCTTTTTTCCAAACTATTGTTTTATGCTTTGCTTCTAATTTATATAATTCTAAAGATCCCTGTTTTATAAATTATATTAACCTTTAGGGTTTTTCTTTTATTTTTTTGTTTTAAAGTTGAAGAAAACCCAGAAGGTACCATTTCTGTGAACCAAGTTAAACAGGAACCCAAAGAACCAGCATTGTCTATGGAAGCAAAAAAAATTTTTGGACTATAAGAAATTATCTGCTACATAAATTGTTGAAGCTTTCCAGAACTGTACAACTCTGGTGACTTCTGATGTCATAGAAAAGAAGGTGAATATTGTCAAACCTCAGCAATGTGATAAGTGGACTGAAGACTGGTTTGATGAGTAGCTTTTATTTAAAACTGATATTTGTTGCCAATTTTATATTTTTACTTTAAGAGATATTTTACACTTCTTATTTTGTATAATTCTTATGCTTTTTGGGTATCTGATAAGGCCAGTATTTCAAAAGGCTATCTGAACTTATCCATGGTAATATAGCTTGAACACAAATAGTTATCTAACTTATTCCCTGGAAATACCTAATTTTGGCTCTTAAAAAATGAAAAAGAACAAAATACTCTGTGTGTGTGTGTGTGTGTGTGCGCGCGCGCACGCGAGCATGTGTGGTGCTTTTAAAAATTTCTAAAAGAACTTATTCCCTCTTTAAAGTTGTGAAGAAATGTTTTAAATTGGCAGATAGGTGAGAGGAGATTTGTAGTCTCTCATTTGGAAAAATAAACAATAGATTTTACTTCATAACACGAAGCCCAGCACTCACATCTGTGGAAACTGTGTATAGTTGCATTTTAGCGTCTTTCATTCTGATTTTTATACTTGTAACTCAAACCAATAGCACACTAATGGTAATCTAGTAGAAATTTATAGGATCTTGGTAAGTACTGAGAATTTTAACTTGAATTAATCAGATAAGCAACAGAAATTAATGTATATTACATGGATTTATGCAGTATTGTAATACAACTCTACCTATGGGTAGAAAAATGTAGAAATGGAAAGAATTCTGAAAGAATAATAGAATTCCATGGTATTTACAGATAATTTGGGGAACTTTTTTATATCAGCAGAGGATTCCTTCCTATTTTATACTGAAGATTCAGCTCTGGTTAGGAAAGGATTTGAGTTGTATTTATTTTTTTATGCCGAAGTTTTTACTGAATTGATGGTATTAGAATTTATAGTACTTAAAGGTAAATATTAATAGTTTAAAATTTAGTTTATATTAAAACTAAAACAACTGATGTGTTATATATATTTGCTTGTTAAGTAAGTATATTTACTTCAAATATTCAATATAAGCTTCTGTTTTCTGGAAGGTCAATTATAACTATCAAGAAATCAACTTAAAGACTTGTTTCCTTCAGAGACCATCTGTGGATATATTTAAAAGTAATAAGATTTTCAAATGGATTTTAATGTTTAACACTTAAAGCATGTGCAATATAATATGGAATTTAACCATAATACTTTATATGAATATGAATTTTCTTTCCTTTTCTAAGTCCAATCTCCCATTTTTAATTCACTTTAATAGTTTCAGGTTCACAACATGTATAAGTATAAAGCACTGTTATATTAGAAGTGGGTGGAATTTTAAAATTCCTTGCTCTTTAGATTTGTATCCTATTTAATATAAAATTTATTATTTAAACCCCTATTTAATGCAAAATTAATATTCAATTACATATATGATTTTTAATAAGACTTGCTTATCATTTTCCTAATAAATGAAAATATTTGATACCAGCATTTATAGATAGGCTGCCAGATCTGTTATGTTATGCTAAGTTAAACACAACTGTTAGTTACCTCAAACCCAGATTTCTCTTAGTCTGTGTGTACTAAGGGAATAAGTCCAAATTAATTTATAGTTTAGTGTTCCATTGTAGGTAATGTTCTTCTCATTTGTTATTTCTACTTTTTATGGAACGTTTTTGCAATATTTTATATAATCTTCACCTTTCATTAATGATAATAATTTATTATTAAATATTTTACCAATTGAACTGTATTTCTTTGGAAACATTCCTTTATTTTTTGATGTTGAGTTGCTAAGGAGAAATGCTTGTTAAGATACAAACTCTAGTCAGTTATGGATGAGGATGAGAGATGTCCAAGGATTCAGAGTTAATCAAGAACAAAACATAGTTTAGAAATATTTCTCTCACTTTATTCTCTGTGAATGTCTCTTTTTTAAAAAAAATATTTTTGATTTAAGAGAGGGAGGGAGAGGGAGAGAGAGATTGAAACATCAATGATGAGAGAGAATCATTGATCGGGTGCCTCCTCTATGCCCCCTACTGGGGATCAAGCCCACAACCCAGGCATGTACCCTGACCCAGAATGGAACTGTGACCTCCTGGCCATAGGTCGACGCTCAACCACTGAGCCATGCTGGCCGGGCTGTGAACATCTCTTCTGATACTGTTTTTTTTCTCTTTTATTATGAGGATAGAAAGTTACCGTGCATTCTCCCCACAAACAAAAAACAAAAGAAAAGAAAAGTGGATGAAGGAAGTTTAAATTCCTAATTATATACTCTTTTGGTTTTTAGGTAGAAACTGGAACTATCAATATTTTCATGTAAGTATTTCAATGAGTAGCTCTTTAAAAATGGTTTTTAAATTAGTTTTAAAAAGTTCATTTGTCCTCTAAATGCATATTCAGTCACAATATATCAGTATTGTATTTTAAAGGTGCTTAGTATCACTTTTTTAAAAGTATGTTTACATATTTTAAATATTCAGTTATCTTTTAAATGTGCAGGGTGTTGAATACAAGTGCATACAATTTTCGGTATCTTTATTTGGCATTCTCCTAACAGCTCTACAGCAAAGTTGGATAAATGCTCTTTTGTGTCATGTATCACAAGGTCCAATATCTGTAGTAGTAAGTTGGACATTCAGAATAAGCGCTTAGAAATTCATAATTACAGATGAGCTTGTTTCTTCATTGTAGTTTTTATGTTCCAAGTCTCCAAGTGAACTTTATATGCACTACAATGAATTATAGATAAACACAGCTATGGTGAGCATTTTCCTAAATACTGATTTTCTATGTAAGCAGTTAACTTACTTAAAAGAAAAAAATGTGTATGCTTATACCAGGTAAATATTTTCTAAAAGTTACAAAAGTGACGGAAATCAGATTTTGGGGTCTGGTCCTGCATTAAAGTTTCTAATTTTGAGGTTCATCAGCTTGTATTTCATCTTTATATTCTGTCAAAGTACATACTTAATCATGTGAGTATGAGAAAGTTGTCATTTAATTTGTACCAGGATTTTTTTAAAAAGTTTTAAAAGTGTGTGTGTATATATATATGTATATAGTAACTTAATGTATAGTGTCCTTGTTATAATGTAATTTTTTCATTAAAATGCTGTGCTTTTTTTCTTAAACTTGTTAGTTTTCTTTTTATACTTTGGGGATAGTGGTGGTTTTGTTCATTTTGAAGATGCTGAATAAATACTTTAATATCTGAGAATTCTGGTAGTAGATTTATGTTTAATTTGGAATCTGAAAGTTTTTAAGCATAACTACCAGTGATGACTGTTATCATTACATTTGGGGAGAATATATATATATTTAGTACTCTCAGCCCAGCCAACCATCAACATTTTAAAACAATGTGCAAAGTAAGGCATTAGTAATTCCTTTTTCCCACATTTTGGTGCTGTGACATTTTCAAGTATAGCATTATATTTTTTGAGTAATGACAGAGTATGCTATTTAAAAAGGAGGCAGCATTGATTTTTCCCTCTTTGCTTTTATCCCCCCCATAATTCCACTCTGCCTATTTTTCAGGATCATAGAAAATCTTTCTCCCTCCAGAAGATTTACTCTTTTTTATCAGCTGAGTTAGGCTTTAGACATCTTAAATGGTCTATTGTTTTGATTCTAAATACCTGCAATTCTACTTAATTAACATAATTGTAATGGCAAAGCCTTAGTATTTTGCCACATTGATATTAACTATGAATTCTGTTTTTAAATAATAAAAATATTTGTTATTGAGTGAATTGTTAAAACTTCAGGAATAAAACCAGAATTTTAAAAAAAACTCACTTATTAATGAATCCTAAACTGATTCATGAGAAAAATTGTATGGTTAATATAGAAAACCTTTGAGAATGTGATATAGGTGCAAGAGTGCAGGAGAGATGTTGTCTACGGGTACAAGCTTACAACCAAACTCCTGAAGATCTAATGTACAGCACAGTGATTATAGTCAACAATACTGTGCTATAAATTTCAAAGCTGTCACTAGATATTAATTGTTCTCACCATGAAAAAAAAATTATGATGCTAACACTATGATGGTAATCATATTGTCCTATATAATAAAAGCCTAATATGCTAAGTGTTCCGTCAGCCATTCAACAACAAAGCATAATTGCTAATGATATGCTAAGGCAGCTCAACCACTTGCTATGATGTGCACTGACCACCAGGGGGCAGACGCTCCAACCGGTAGGTTAGCTTGCTGCTGGGCTCCGGCCAATCGGGACTGAGCAAGAAGGGCCAGACACGCCCTGGAGCCCTCCCGCAGTCCCTCCCCTGCTGGCCAACCTCCCCGCGTCTCTCCCCGGCCCTGATCGTGCACTGGTGGGGTCCCTCTGCCTGGCCTGCACCCTTTTGCAATCAGGGACCCCTCATGGTATGTCAGAGAGCCGGTATTGGCCCAATCTCGCAGGCCAGGCCAAGGGACCCCACTGGTGCACGAATTCATGCACTGGGCCTCTAGTGATACATAAATTATAAAATCAGTATATTATATACCTTAAACTCAGACAATGTTTTATGTTAATTATATCCATAAAAATGAATTTTAAAACCAGAGGGAAAAGGGGGAGGCAGATACCAGTTTTTAATTTAAATATCTTTTCTGAGGTATAATTGACATATAATAAACTGCACATATTTAAAGTGTACTATTTGATAAGTTTTTAAAAAAATATATTTTATTGATTTTTTACAGAGAGGAAGGGAGAGGGATAGAGAGTTAGAAACATCGATGAGAGAGAAACATCGATCAGCTGCCTCCTGCACAGCCCCTATTGGGGGTGTGCCCGCAACCAAGGTACATGCCCTTGGCCGGAATCGAAGCTGGGACGCTTCAGTCCGCAGGCCGACGCTCTATCCACTGAGCCAAACCGGTCAGGGCCAATTTGGTAAGTTTTGATATATGTATACATATATCCAACCATCATTCCAGTTAAGATAATGAACATATCTATCACCCCCAAAAGATTCCTAGTGTTTCTTTGTAATCCATCCCCACTTTTCCTTTACTCCCACACCCACCCCACCATCTCCAAACATACCAAACTGCTTTCTGTTACTAAAGATCAATTTGCTTTGTCAATTTTATAAAAATTGAAATCATATAGTATGATCATTTTTATTTGACTTTTATCAATCAGCATAGTTATTTTGGAATTTATGTCACAGGGTGAACAATTTATTTCATTTTACTACTGAGTAGTATCTAATTGTATGAATATACCATAATTTGCTTATTCATTCACCTGTTGATGGACATCTGGGTTGTTTATGGTTCTTGGCTATTACAAATAAAGCTGCTATAAACATTTGTGTAAGTCTTTGTATGGATACATACTTTCATTTCTCTTGGGTAAATAAATAGACCTGGAATGGCTAGGTTATATGTTAAGTATATATTTAACCTTTTAAGAAATTTTCAACTGATTTTTCAAAGTGGCTGTAGCCTTTTATATTTCTGTCAAGAATGTATGAGAGTTATAGGTGCTCTCTATCCTAGCCAACATTAGGTATAGACAGGCTTTTAAATTTTAGGCATTCTGATAGGTGTGTAGTAATAATATACTAGTAACAACCACATAAGTCATTGTGGTTTTAATGTTCATTTCTCTAATGAACACTGTTGAGCATTTTTTCATGTTTGTTTTTTTTTTTTTTGCCAACTGTATATCTTCTTTAGTGAAGTGTCTGTTTGAATCTTTTACCCATTCTTCAGCTGAATTGTTTTCTTATTATAGAGGTTTCAAAAGTGTATTCTAGATACAAGTCCATTATTAGAAATGTGATTTACAAATATTTTTTTTCTGGTCATACCTTATCTTTCACCTCTCTTAACAGGATCTCTCAAAGGGCAGAAGTTTCTGATTGTGATAAAGTCCAATTTATCTTTTCATAAAATTAAATTTATTAGGATGGCATTGGTTAATAAGATTATATAGGTTTCAAGTGTACCTTTCTATGATACATGATTTGTATATTGCATCGTGTGCCACCACCCACAGTCAAATCATCTTCCATCACCATCTATTAGTATTTGGCCCTGTTTATCTTTTACTAGTCTCCATTCCTCTTCCCTCGTAACCACCATATGGTTATCTGTCTATGAGTTTCAGTGTTATATCCCACATATGAGTGAAATCATATTGTTCTTAGTTTTTTCTGACTCACTTATTTTGCTTAGCATAATATTCTCAAGATCCTTTCCTGTTGCAAAATGGCAGGCAGTATTGCATCTTTTCTTATGGCTGAGTAGTATTCCATTGTACATATGTACCACATCTTAATCCAGTCATCTATCAAAGGACACTTTGCTTGTCTCCATGTCTTGGCCACCGTGAATAATGCTCCAGTGAACATAGGGGTGCATATATCTTTGAGAATAAATGTTTTCAAATTTTTCAGGTAGATACCCAAAAGAGGGATTGCTGGGTCATATGGTAACTCTATTCTTAATTTTTTTGAGGGATGGCCAAACTGTTTTCCATAGTGGCTGTACTAGTAGTTTACATTCCCACCAGCAGCAAATGAGTTTTCTTTTGCTCCACAACCTCTCCAACACTTGTTATTACTTGTCTTTTTTCTATCTCATTTTGTATAGTTTATATGGCTCTGTCTTCAAATTTACTGATCTTTTCTTCTGCAATGTCTAATACATTGTTAAACCCAGATTAACTTGGTATTGTTAGTAATCCAGTGTATTTTTCAACACTGACATTGTAGTTTTCATATTTAGAAGTTTAATTTGGGAATTTTTTTTTTTGTCATCCATGTCTCTACTTGACTTTCTGCATCTTTCCTCTAACTTCTTGAATATATGGACTACAGTTATAAAATTATTTTAATGCTTCCCTAACCGGTTTGGCTCAGTGGATAGAGCGTCAGCCTGCGGACTGAAAGGTCCCAGGTTCGATTCCGGTCAAGGGCATGTACCTTGGTTGCGGGCACATCCCAGTTTGGGGTGTGCAGGAGGCAGCTGATCGATGTTTCTCTCTCATCGATGTTTCTAACTCTCTATCCCTCTCCCTTCCTCTCTGTAAAAAAATCAATAAAATATATTTAAAAAATTATTTTAATGTCCTTTTCTACTAATTCTGTCAACTTTTTATGAGACAATTTCAGTTGATTGATTTTTCTGCTCATTATTTTTGTATGTTTTCCTGCTTTGAATTCCTTATAACTTTTGATTGCACGTTCGATATAATTTTTACTTTGTTAGATACTGGATATTTTTGTATTTCTATAAATATTATTGAGTTTTGTCTAGGACACAGGTGTCTTGAAAACAGTTTGTTCCTGGAAAGGCTTGCTTTCAAGCTTTGTTAAGTGGGACCAGAGCAGCATTTAATCTAGTGTTCGTTTTGTCCCACTGTTAAAGCAAAACCCTTTGGAGTATTCTACACTGTGCTTTTGAGTTAATGCGGTTTTCTACTCGGGCTGGTGGGAATGGGCATCCTTCTGGTCCCTTGTGAGCCTCAAGAGTTGTTCCCTCAAGAATAAACTTTGTGCCCTGGCTGGTTTGACTCAGTGAGGGAACAGCTCTTGAGGCTCATAAGGGACCAGAAGGATGCCCCTTCCCACCAGCCCACCAGGCCTGTGGACTAAAGGGTCCTGGATTCGATTTCCGTCGGGGGCACATGCCTGGGTTGTGGGCTCCATCCCCAGTATGGGGCGTGCGGGAGGCAGCCGATCAGTGATTCTCTCTCATCATTGATGTTTCTATCTCTCTCTCCCTCTCCCTTCCTCTCTGAAATCAATCAAAAAAATTTATATATATAAATAATATATATATATAATAAATTTTGTAATTAATCTGTCCCCACCTACTAGATTCTAAACTGCATGGGGCAGGGACCTTTGTCTTTTTTTTATTCATAGATTTATCACAGTGGTAGATACATGGGAAATATTTTTGAATGAATGACCATCCGCATTTAAGATTTTAGTGTGTCCTTATAGAAAATAATTGGAAAACAACCCAAAGAGAGTTGGGAAAGTCAGGGAGAGAGAATTGCTGAAGAAATGTCTTTGGGTAAGAGAAAGGGGATGGAATCTAGCACCCAAGGAAAGGGTCTGACTTTAGATAGACGCATGGATACCTCATCTATGAACAGATGACAAGGCAGCCTACATGGGTAAAGATGCTAGTAGGTGGGGACAAATGAGAGTTTGTGGAAATTATCTTTTGATTGCTTCAGTTTTCTCAGTGAAATAAGCAAGGTCCTTTGTAAGTGAAGGTGGGTGTGGGGGGGGAGTTGACAAAAGCTAGTAGGAGAGTAATTAGACTAAGGAAGTATAATCAAGGGGTTGGCAAAAGTAGGTTTACTGTTGTGAGTAGATGAAACACATTTTCTTCTTGTATTATTTATTTATTGTTGTATTATTTATTTGTATTACAACTATAAACCTACTTTTGCACATCCCTGTATTATTTTTTTTATTAAATTTTTATTGTTCAGATTACATTTGTTCCTCTTCCCCCCCCACATAACTCCCCTCCTTCCAGTTCCCACCCCACCCTCCGCCCTCATTCCCTACCCACTGTCCTCATCCATAGGTGCACGATTTTTGTCCAGTCTCTTCCCGAATCTCCCATTCCCCTTTCCCCCCAAGAATAGTCAGTCCATTCCCTTTCTATGTCCCTGATTCATTATAATCACCAGTTCATTCTGTACATCAGATTATTTATTCACTTGATTCTTAGATTCACTTGTTGATAGATGCATGTTTGTTGTTCACAATTTGTATCTTTACCTTTTTCTTCTTCCTCTTCTTAAAGGATACCTTTCAGCATTTCGTATAATACTGGTTTAGTGGTGATGAACTCCTTTAGCTTTTCCTTATCTGTGAAGCTCTTTATCTGACCTTCAATTCTGAATGATAGCTTTGCTGGATAAAGTAGTCTTGGTTGTAGGTTCTTGGTATTCAGCACTTTGAATATTTCTTGCCATTCCCTTCTGGCCTGCAAAGTTTCTGTTGAGAAATCAGCTGACAGTTGTATGGGTATTCCCTTGTAGGTAATTGAGTCTCTTTCTCTTGCTGCTTTTAAGATTCTCTCTTTGTCTTTTGCTCTTGGCATTTTAATTATGATATGTCTTGGTGTGGTCCTCTTTGGATTCCTTTTGTTTGGGGTTCTCTGCGCTTCTTGGACCTGTAAGTCCATTTCTTTCACCAGGTGGGGGAAGTTCTCTGCCATTATTTCTTCAAATAGGTTTTCAATATCTTGCTGTCTCTCATCTTCTGGCACTCCTATTATTCTGATATTGGTACGCTTGTAGCTGTCCCAGAGGCTCCTTACACTATCTTCACACTTTCGGATTCTTTTTTCATTTTGCTTTTCCAATTGGGTGTTTTTTGTCGAATCTTTGGTTTGATTCTTGTGCTCCTCTGGTCTGCTATTGGGTATAATATTCTTTATTTCAGTCCGTGTATGCTTACTTTCTAATTTCTTTATCGTAGCATCGAGGGTCTCATTAGTTTTCGTGAGGCTCTGCACAAATTTATGGCAAGCCCTCAAAATTGCGATTCTTAGCTCCATATCCTCCATTTCTGTCATGTTTTTTTGTCTCCGCATCTTTTATGCTTTCTTGGTGCACCCCCTTGTGGTCTCTGTGCGCAGTCTTGTTCTAGCCAAGCCTTAATTGTTGTAGTTAACACTAGAGGGATTTGACCAGCAGACCGACTGGCTGTAGGATTCTGGGGAGGCGCTAGTCCTGCCCTTGCCTGAGGCGATCAGCAAATGTCTGTGCGCAGTGCCTGGGCGGGGCGGGCTCAACAGGGCGGGGGGAGGGAGCAGCTATGGCCGCTCTCAGTCCGTCCCCAAGGGCTCTGCCTCTCTGTCCCAGCAATCGCTGCAAACCTCGGAGGGGCCGTAGCCAGACAGTCCCGCTTCTCCCGTTTGAGTCTGGGTCCCTAGAGACTCGCCCGGATCTGTAGCCCAGAGTCTGAGACTCACTCCTGAGTGAAAACGACAACCGCGCCCTCAGCCACCAGCCCGCTTTGCGCGCGCACCGCCGCACCACCGTACCTTTAAATTTTCCACACTGCGCCTCCTCTAAGCCTCGTAATGCTGTTGTTTTTCCTTCTAGTTGAAGAGTCCCTCCTCAGCCAGCCTTCCTGTGGTTCTGGGTGATGTCCGTTCCGTCTTTTAGTTGTATTTTTGAAATGGTTGTTCGAGGCAGCAAACTCCGGTGTTTACCTATGCCGCCATCTTGGTTTCTCCCATCCCTGTATTATTAATGGGTCTGTTTGATTAAGGGTTCATTTGAGGTTTATGTTCATAAATTGAAATTCAGATTAGTCAGCATGTTTGTTTTGCTCCAGCTACAATCAACAGTGACTAAGTATTCATTGAGAAACAGACACTATTACCTGCGGACTGTAAGATATATTAACAAAACCTCATCCTAACCCAGGGGTGGGCAAACTTTTTGATTCGAGGGCCACAATGGGTTCTTAAACTGGACCAGAGGGCCGGAACAAAAGCATGGATGGAGTGTTTGTGTGAACTAATATAAATTCAAAGTAAACATCATTACATAAAAGGGTACGGTCTTTTTTTTTTTTTAGTTTTATTCATTTCAAACGGGCCGTAGTTTGCCCACGGCTGTCCTAACCCCATGAGGACTCACAGTGTATTGGCAGACATATACATAATTAGCCAATTGTGAAATGGTGTGATAAGTACTATGTACTCAAAGGTAAAGCATCGTATATTAAAGAAGTTCCAGGCTGGTGAGCAATGCAGGTTGTGGAGGGAACAGCAGATTACTGTGAGAAGGCAGAAGATTGCGAAAGAATCACTTCCAAACTCTCACCTCCCTCTGTCCAGTCAAAAACTAGGTGTAAACACTATTTTATATAAAATACTCTTATGTAAAAACTGTCCCAATCCCAACCAGATCCCCTGCTTTGAAACTCATCTTAAACTAGATCCCCAAAATTCATAAATATTGTACCTCTGACTTCTCCCATAAGACACTACAAAGACTATTAAGATATCCTCCCTTACTGCAGTAAGCAAAAAACTCAGCTCTGCTCTATCAACAGGTTATTTTGAAGGTATTTTAAAGGAGCCAGCATTTGATGATCTTGGAGGTCCTATAAAAATCTGGTCAACTTGGAAATAGCGTGCTTCCTGAGGCCCTTTGAGTCTCCTGCACAGGGTCTCTCCAATGATGATGGTAAGGTAAGTTCATATTGAGTTTCAGCTTTGATTTCTTATTTTTCTTCATCAACCACTCCAAATGCTGTTTAATTTGTTTAGTTTGAGAGTGGTATCTAGGAATAAGAGGCTCTTTTTAAAAATCCAGATTGATCAAGTTTGAAAAATGTATTTTTGGTAGAAATCTGCATTATTGCTGACAATACTTTTACACAAAAGTATTGTCCTTGTCATTTCTTCACTGTTAATCTGTAAGAAGAAGTCCAAAGGTATTAAGATGGGTGTAAGCTAGTTTACTCAGAAGACTTCTCTTCAGACTGACACCCTTTGGAAAAATGCCTCAGGTCATTTATGAAAATCTTACCAAATTTTACTCACTGTTGTGTTATTTTATCCATGAAGATCTAGTTCTCTTTTGGAGGGGGGGGGGGTCTCCAAGATACAAAGGTGCACAAGATTTGACTGACTATTGCCAGACTCATAGGTTTATTTTTAGTCTAGTTCTGTACCCAACTGGGTTGAACTCCTGCATCTTATATGTATTTATATTAGAATCAAAACAAATCTTAAAGTTTCTAAATGATATAAGCATTATTTGGAATTACAGTGGTTACTTTGAGGAACTTTTTATATGAACAAAATCATTCCTTTGGGAGTCGCTTTGAAGCACAAAGGGAGCAGTATCCCAAACATACAATTGTCTACACATTTTTTAATTTATTGATTTTAGAGCAAGGAGCAAGAGAGGGAGAGACAGAGGGAAAAAACATATTAATTTTTTGTTCCTCTCATTTATGCATTCATTGGTTGCTTCTTGTATGTGCTCTGACTGGAGATTGAACCCACAACCTTGGTATATCAGGGCAATGCTCTAACCAATTGAGCTAGGGCCTGTCCACATTTTAAAGCAAGAAGAAACTTTCAAGATATATTCAAGGAATTATGAAATTGCCTCCTTAAAAGATTCCTTGGCAAAGGCAAGAGAAATTGTGAAAATTTAAAAATGAAATCTTTTAGATCCCTTAAAATCAAATTTGAATATAAAGTCCTTTATTCTTCTTTTCCACTTTCCCTTATGTTCCTTCATTTTTCTCTTTTCTGTTTATCCTTCTGTTCTTCTCTCCTTTCCTCCAAAATACCTCATAAGAAGATGGTCTTGTAGGTCTAAAAGAGAAAAATCACTTTGTTTCGTATGAGAGACACCACTTTCCATACTCCAAGTATTTATAATTACTGCCTCCTGCACGCCCCCTACTGGGGTTGACCGGGACTCAAACTGACAACATTTTGGTGCATGGGACAACACTCAACCAACTGAGCCACACCAGCCAGGGTGCTTAACTAACTGCCTTAAACTATCAATTTTTAAAAATCATTTTTATAAATTATTCAACTTTTAATAAACTATTGAACTTTTCACTTATTTTGCTTTTACCTAAAATATGGTTGGTTGACAATACAAATTTTGGCTTTTAAAAGATGACTAGAATATCCTTCTAGTTGCTATCCTGTTCATGAATCACTTAAAGCCAGTTAGATCTTGAAATTCTCTTTTTTTTTTAGATCTTGAAATTCTTATGTAAATACACTCTCTTAAGATCTTTCCATCTTTTCAAGTTTGATTAACATTTGAAAATACATTGTAATGTTTTTAGTAATAAAAAACATGGGTATATTTAGACCTTCAAGAAGAATTTAACCAAGGGAAATAGGCAAGAACAAAACAAAAACATTAGCTTTTAGTAGCTGTAAAACAATGTGTGGCTTTCACAGTAACAGACTTCTATATCAGTTGCATAATAGTAATTCTTTATTCATGAGGTCTTTATTTCCATGGAAACACTGAGATCATTTTAATTTTTAATTACACTAGAGTTTACAGTTCCATAGATTTTAACTCTATCAGTAAGCACAGAAGCTAGAGCTTCACCCACTTCTAGTTAAAAAATGTAAAGGAAGAAAAGGTAGTTTAAAATGATCAAGAATTTCATGTAGCAGTAATTGTTTTTTTTCTTTTTAATTCTTACAACATTGTATTGCTCTAAGAAAGAAATATTCCTTGTTACATGACAAGTAAAGAAATCCAGATATTGATTAACATGAATTTGAATGAGAATAATTGAATTTCAAGAAAACTGCTTTCTGAGGACAAGAAATCTCTCCCAGTCTCAAAATTTTCTTTTCTTCACAGGAAATAAGAACTTAAAAAGAGAAAAATGCTAATTTTTAAATAAAAAATTTCCTGTAATTTCCTTTTTCTTCTTGATTAAAGAGTTTTCTCGACTGTAGATTGTGGAAGTCTTAACTTTTAATTAACTTCCCAGCCATGATAGAAAGTTCATTATACATGAAAGCAAAGTGGTTTTCTTTCATGTTTCAACTGAATTTTAAGTACTACATTTTGTATGGTGAGGGGAGTGTATGATTACATGTCGCCTTGGGAAATACATCACAAGGTCTAGAACAACAAATAGAGTTTTAATCTTGTCATGTCTCTACTTAAAAACTCTAATTTTATACAGAATGAAATACAAATCATTGAGCCAGCAGTCAGGACAATTGCAACCTGAAAGGGGGCCAGGCCAGAGTGGGCCTGCCTCTGGCTGGCCTGTAGTGTGTGGGTTCCTGACCTCATGCAGGAAAGAGTCCAGGTGGTTTTGAGTATGTTTATTCAAGCTGGGACAGTGAAACAAGGAAGGTCCTAGGATAGAAGCAGCAGCAGGAGACAGCCTAGGCGGGGCTGCTTTGGCTCTCTAGAAAGCTTATAGGAAAGAAGTGAGCCGAGGTGGGGCTGCTGTCAGCTCACTGGAGAGTCAGAAAAAGGGGACCTTGGGGACAGGTTCAGGGGTTAGCATGGGATGAGTGGCTACTGCCCATAGCTCCCCTGGTTGCAAGTCTGGTGGGGTCCCTTAGAGCAGCAGTCGCCAACCTGTGGTCCGTGGACCACTGGTGGTCTGTGAGGTCCGAAAGGCTGGCAACTGCTGCCTTAGAGATTAGGAGATGCACACCTGTGGGGGAAGAAGAGGGAAAAGAGAAAGGTGCTGTTGTGCTCCCGGGCGGGCGGGAGAGTAGGAGCAGGTTCCTTCATCTGGAGGGTTTTAAAGGCTGGGAATTTAGGGAAGGTCTTAGGGCAGGATCTCAGTAGAATATCCGTCAGCTTTTCCAGGTATCCTTTCAGGCTCCACTGATTGGTTGGCATCAGGGCAGGGGGTCACTAGTCATCACAGCTGGTCCTAGCATTGCCTACCTTGTGTTACTGGGCCTGGAGCCGAAATACAACTGAGGCCTAGATATTATCTCCAGGGAGGAAAGGTGTGTGTGTGTGGGGGGGGGGTAAGTGAAGGGGCGTCTATACCCCATGACTAGTGATATGAAAGGTCACGGGAATCTAAACCACATGGTCAGTGATTTGCCAAGGGAGGATATGCCAGTTTTGCCCATTGCTAGGCACCAGCGGCTTTCTGCCCTGGTGACCTTCTCTATCTGCTGTAAATTGCTCAGCCAGTGTGTTCAGCTGTCTGTTTCCCCATTCCACTTGCCAAGGAATTTTCATAGCTTTTTACTATCCTGCCTCAGTTGGAACACGCATTTTTAAATTTTTAATATAAAAATAAGTTGAAAAAAAGATATCAACTACCAGCCTGGAGAAGGTGACAGTCCAAGTGTGCAACAACCGTCCTGCTAGCCAAGAACCTACATGGCCTTCTTTTGGCCAAATATTGAAAATGTTTATTTTTTAAGAAAGATGACAAGCCCTGGCCAGGTGGCTCAGGTGGTTGGAGAGCCGTCCTGTTGCAGGTTTGATTCCCAGTCAGGGCACAGACCTAGTTGTAGGTTCTCTTTAGGAATGTTAGGAGTAAAAGTGATTGTAGCGTCACTGGAGAGACACTGATGAGAACTGGGAGAGCTAAGGGAACTGGGGATTGTCCAGTAGACACTTCTTATTTAAACCTACGCAGTGAAATATTGCACTTATTTCCTTTTGGTGTAAGAAAAGAAATGACCTAAACAAAGACATAGCTCCTAACCTCCCCTGTGACTCTCTATAATCTTTGGTCGAGTTGAAACCTTCAGCACAAGAACTGCGTAATCCTTCACTGCAATTCAGATGCTAAGTGTGTCTTTCATCTGAGGGAAAATGGAAAGGAGATATTAGAATGGGATAATCCTTGTTCACAAAAGTTTAATGGTTACCTGCCTACCCCAATATTAGAATGATTAGATGGGAAAGATCATCAACAGAGACAAGATAGATAAATTCCCTGACTTTCTCCTCTTTAGTGCATAGCTAGGGACCTCCTGTGGAACAGAAAGGAGGAACCTGCCCCACAGGTTACATGCATTAGTCCTTGGTGAGTTTACTAGGGTAAGTCAGAGCCCGGGAGTCTCCTTACTGGTGACAAAGCTGAGGCCTGATCCTATGATGTGAACATTAAAACAAAATACTGCCACCCTTTGTGTCCCAACAGGAACATCCATGTGTCACATGATGTATCTATTTCTTTCTAGATGTAACTGCAATGATGTTGTGTTTGAAGACTCAGTGCCTACATGTAGCAATTCATTTGGTTTTGTGTCACAGATTACATCTCTTCAATATCTGTTTCATTAGTCACAAGGGGAAGGTGAAGAAGATGAGAATAGATGGATGCAAATTTATCAATACTACTCCAAAGCAAAATTCATCAATACTACTCCAAAGCAAAATCCATCTGTATCAACAGTGGGAATGTTAATACTCAAAGTGTGGGCTGTGGATCAGCAGCATTGGCATTAGCTGGGAGCTGGATAGACCTCGGACCTACTGAATTCCAGACCTACTGAATCAGAATCAGCATTTTACCAAGATTCCTTGAAAGTTTGTGAGGCAAACATTGAGAAGCAGTGTGTAGAACATTATCATCTTTGCTTATGGACAACACATTTTTTGCTATAATTTACAAATTGATTACATTTGTGTCTTATAGTGCTATTATGATGAGTCCAACATGCTGTAAACAGTTTGTAGTGGGAGCAAAACTGGAGGTGAAATAGTATAGATAATACAGTGAAAGAGATCATTTATTTCTTTCATTATACTGTCTTCAAACATTTACTGTACTCCTATTGTGCATAAGACACCATTCAAGGACCTGAAGATATAGCATTGAATAAAGTCTCTGTTTTCATAGTTCTTACATTTTATTAGGGGGAAACTCATAATAGGCAAATAAATATGTCAGCTGGTAAGTGCTAGAATGAAAAATAAAGTAAGAGAGAAAAGGGTATACTATTTTCTAACAAAGGGTCAGGGACTGCTTCATGGATGTGTTAGTCTTTTGGGCTGCTGTAAAAAATACCAGACTGGGTCATTTCTAAACATAAATTAATTTTCTCAGTTCTGAAGACTGAAAGTCCAAGATTAGTGTTGTTGGAAGAATGCCCTCTCCCAACTCCCAGACTTCTGCTTACCTTCTCACAGGGCAGAGAGGGCTGGGAGTTCTGTGAGATTTTATAAAAGCACTAATCCCATTCATGAGGGCACTCCCCCATGACCTAAATAGCTCCCAAAAGCCCCCACCTCCTAACCCCATCACATTGGGGTTTGGATGTCAACATATGAAACTTGGCGTACACAAACATCCACACTGCAGGAATGGACAAGGGGGTTCTGGAGTGGAGACTTGAAGATTGTGTGTGGACATCAGGGGAAAGAGCATTTCCGGTTCAGTGGCAGTTTATGTAAAATCCCTGAGACTGCAGTGTGCTTTGTGAATTTGAGGAGCAGCAAGGAAGACTTGTGTCTGGAGTGAAATAAGGGAAGCCCAGTATATTAGAGAAATTAGGAAAGTGTGGGAGGAAAATACAGGTCCTTCCTGGCCATTTAAGGTAGAATGGGAAGCCATTGGAGAGGTTTTAGTAGAGGAATGGCATCTTATTTCTGTGTTAAAAAGTTCACTTTTGTTGCAATGTTGAAAGTCATCCATGGGTGGGGAGAGTGCATAAGTAGAGGCAGGGAGAAAAATTGGCTTTGCAATAAACCAGAAAATATTCTTTTCAAGTTGTTGTTTTTTTTGCTTTAAAATAATGTTTTTATTGATTTCAGAGTGAGGAAGTGAAATATAGAAACATCAATGAGAGAGATGAACGGGTACCTCCTGCACACCCCCTCGTGGGGGGTGGAACCCGCAACCTGGGCATGTGCCCCGACTGGGAATCAAACCGGTGACCTTCTGGTGCATGGGCTGACACTCAACCAACTGAGAGCCACACTGCCGGGCAAACCAGAAAAGATTTAATGGTAACTCACATCAGGGTGGTAGTGGTGGTGGAGTAGATAATGGTTAAATTCTGGATAGATTTTGAAGATATAGCTGAAAGGATTAGATTGAATGTGACATACTGTATATGCGACAGGTGGCAAGGATACCCCCGAGGTTCTTGGACTGACCAGCTGGAAGAATGGAACTGCTAATGACTATAATAGCAAGAGGAATTCCTTACCGTCCTTCTGAGCCGCACATGACTGTTAGCCAGCCAAGGAGAGATGCTGAAAAGGCATAATTTGCAAACAACTACTCTATTTACTCCCAACTCAGTCATCTTGGAGGGAAAGTAGCTATTAATAGTAAAGGAATGGGTATGGCTCTATCCCAACCATCTTTACAACACTGAAACTTGAATTTCACCAATTTTTCATGTGTCATGAATTATCCTTATTTTGATTTTTGTTGTCAACAAAACCAAAAATATTTACTCTCTGGCTTTTACAGTTTGCTGACTGCTGGTATATATGAAACAAGATGGGACATTAGTTGATAATTTTTAAAGATTGGCAACGGTATGTACATGGGGTTTCATTATATTAGTTTACTTTTGTATATGCTTGACATTTTTCATAATAAAACGTTTGAAAAATGCTTAGGCGTACCAACGGCGATCAATCTTAAGAACTATCCCCTGCCTGTTTAAAAAAAACAACACACCCTGAGAGTTGTATCTTGTAAATGCAGCCGTTTGTCTCTTCTTTTTCTGACAGAGTAAAATCCGTTTTGAAACTTTGGGTAGTGGTAAAAGGAGATTTTTAGGACTGGACGTTCGGCGACGGGGAAAGCACGTTTAAGGAAACGGATTTTTTGTGGCGTGTAGGGACCGTTGTCTGTTTTTTGACATTACTATAGACGACGAGGGCCAATTCCCCTTTTACAACAAGAAATCCAAAGAAAATACACATTAGCTGTCACCGTATTGCCCGCTGCCCTCCGATGATTCCCGGAAATGACGCCATCAGGCCCATGCTACGTCAGCCGGACCCCAGCAGTGCCGGGCGCCGACGTCAGCACGTAAGCGCCCCCCTGCAGGTCCAGGCCTGCGAGAGGACCGACTGGAGCGGCGCCCGCCGCCGGGTTTTCAGGAGACGGCGGGAGTGCGACTGCGCCGGCATTCCGGGGCGGGGCTTTCATTCACCCCGCCCCTCCCCAGCATGAGCGACCAATGAACAGCGACTGCCCTGGGGCCGGGGAAATTTTCAGAGGCTGGAATGATTAGCCGAGGGGACAGCCCCGCCCCTGGCCCCTCCCAGCCCTCGCGCCCCGCCTCACGCCGTCGCCGCCCCGCCTCCCGCTCCCGCCCGCCTCCCAGCTGCGGGGTGACACGGGGCTTCGGGTTGGTCAGGGGGCGAGGCAAAGTTAGACGTGGGCCCGAGGCGGCGGCGCCGGCCCCAGCGCGAGCGCGGTGAGGAGGAGCGGGTCGCCGGGGCGAGGGGGCTGCGTGGCAGAAACGTGAGGGCCCGGGCGCTTGGTGGGGGCGCGCTGTGGCCCGAGGGGCGGCTGTGAGGGGGCGAGGTGCACCCGGGTGTGTCCCGGCGCGGTCGGCCGGGCGTGGGCCGCGGGTGGGAGCCGCCGCGCTCTCCTGGCCCGGTTTCCAAAGCTTTTCTCGGCGGCCCGGCCCCCCGAGTTTGCCTCCCGTCCGGTTGCCTGGGATGCGAGGAGGAAATGTAAGGCGCTCCGAGAGCACTTGGAGGCTTTCCCGGGGTGTGTTCCTGGGCCGGTCGCGCGTACCTTTCTTCCGGGACGGGAGCGGCGGGGGCAGGTGGGCAGGTAGCTGTTCACGCTCGGAGGACGGTTCCAGCCACAAACCAACAGACAGACAGACAGGGATGCCTCCCCCGCCCCGCGCCCCGCGCCCCGCCCCGCCGCCCGGGACAAACATTTCCAAGTTTAAAAAGCAGCAGACTCGGGAATGCCGAGGGGTTCTGTACGTCAGGAGTACGATCGCTTTTTCTTTATTTACATAGAAAATAGGAGCGACGTCGTGCGCTGTGCATTGTGACTGGGCGCTTTTTTCGTCCTGAGCTCGCGTCTTCCCGAGTCTGCCCGGGCGGCTTCTGACTCGATATTCCTGGAAAATAATACTGTTAGCTGTCAGGTCTCCCTGCATCGCAAGTTTCCGCGAATTAAGTGTAAAGAAAGGCTGAGGCTGCTGCTCGTGGGGCGTGAGGCAGAAGCCTCTCCCGTCCTGGTAAATCTAGTGTTTGCGCTGCTCTCTTTCCAGCAGGTATTTGCATGCTTCTCTCTCCCGCAGGTTGTGAAATGACCGGCGACCGCCGAGGAGGAGAAGCGGGGTAGCTGCTGAGACGGAGTTTCAGTGACCAGAAGACAGCCCAGGGGTGTCGCGTCTTTTTTGCTGTCCCTGCCGCTTTGAGCTTTACTGTAACAGCTGAAAAACTTGGAAAATAAAATGAGCACGCTGTGGTCTTGAACATCCATTTTTATTTTTTATTGGAGGACACATTAAAAGTGCCAGAGTGACAGCCAGAATGGCATCCAGAGAGAGGCTCTTTGAACTTTGGATGCTTTATTGTACCAAGGTAACTGCTTTCTTTTTTTTTTTTATTTGCACGTTTTAAAATACTTGGTTGTGAGATTTTGTGACTGGCCCTCTTAGCACTTCATTTCATGGATAATAACCTGTTTGTTGGTAGGTACGACCCACAATTTAAAAAGACGGATTTGCTGCTTGCCATTTCTGCAGGTGCGAACACATGCACAGCACTGGCACACTGTTCCAAGCTCTGGGGTGTGGTTTTTATTTGATATTCGTCTCCAGTGATCCCCAAATTATATAAGTAACATGACGACCTTAAGAGAGAAATGAAGTCTTTTCCTTTTTTGTTTGTTCACTTTCCTCTTTCTCCCACAAGTGGGAGGAGAGAGGGTTTCAGGAGAAGAGCCTTCGACATTTTTCTCCTGGTCAGCCTTTCACGTCGTATTAACCAGGTGACTGATGACATGGGAAGGTCTTTGATTGGAGGCGGTCACTCTGAGCTGGCCGAGATACTCGCACCTGATGAGCACCTCTCATCTCATCCTCACAGCCATCCCGTGCGGTGGGTGTCGTCATTACCCCGTTTTACCAACGAGAACAAGCTGGTGCTGAAGTTGGGGGGGCTGATGAGGTGCAGGACCGAGCTTGAAACTCAGCACCGCCTGATTCACGCCCATGGTCTTACCCATGATGACCCCTTACTATTTTTGGTTTCGTCATTCACAAATAATTTTCTTTTCTCTCTCTGCCTTTATGTGAATTTTTTACACGTTAGCTTTGACTTTAAGGTTATTGGGAGGAGAAGGGTACCACTTTAAGCATCTGCTTCAAGCGGGGAGCTGCAGTACCACCTTGAAGATACTGGAAGGGTCAGAGAAACGGCTTTAATCTACTTTAGTTACTTTAGGTCTCTGTTTTCAAGTCTCAGCTTCCGTTTCTGTTACCCCTTCCGGCTTCTTTTTTATACTTTCAGCTCTTTAATGAACAAGTTATTCTTTAACAAATAATCTCAGTTATCTGTAATATTAAATTTTAGAGGTCACACTGGAATTTTCTTTGACTTTCTGGCTTGGTATATATATTTTTAAATATATTTTTATTGATTTTAGAGAGGAAGGGAGAGGGAGAGAGAGGTTGAAACATCAGTGATAAGAGAGAATCATTGATCGGCTGCCTCCTACACGCTCCACAGCCTGGGGATTGAGCTCACAACCTGGGCACGTGCCCTTGACCGGAATCGAATCCAGGACCCTTCAGTCCACAGGCCGACACTCTATCCACTGAGTCAAACCAGATAGGACTGGTTTGATATTTCTTGCAATTATAGAAGGACATATCCTTTGAAATGTTTAATATGGATTTTTAAAATAGCTTTTAGTCTTGTGTAATTTAATGCCAGAGATGTCTTTTTAAAAATAGACCCCTCTTCTAATAAAAAATAATCCAAATCACCAGACACTTTTGAAAATAGTCACTAACACATTAGCCAAAAATTAAAATGTGTTTTAGTATGAATGCCTAGTAGTTTGAAAATGATTTTATTTAAAAATACCTCAAACTTATTAGGCTTCACTGTTTCTGGATGACAAAAGGTAAATGGGGTTGTATTGTCTTATTAATTAGTTATGTTGTTTCTAGGTGAGTTCATGTTTTATTTACGTGACACTGCTAATTGAAAAAATAGTATAGTTCGTTGGCATACACAGAATTTTGTTCTTAATGACGCTTAATATAAAGATGAACCCTTCTGTTCATTAACATCTAAGTATATAGTGAAGGCCTGTCAGTCAAATTTTGAAGCTATTCTTGGACAGGAATATAAGTCCCATTTTTCTGTTTAAGATTTAAATCACTGTGCACTTAAGATTTAAAATTCTTTTCAAGTGTTTTTAAAAATTGTTATTTAATACAATGATTTTATGTTTCACTAGCTCATGAGTAAGCTACTTGTAAGCTAGACAACAGCATTCTTTCCCACAAACACCTTGACTTCAAGTAGCTTTCAAATATACGTCATAAATTTAACACTTCTGCTCCGTGGTGAGGATGATTACCATATATCCAGTTCTCTATACTTTCTCTCTAGCTTTATTGCTCTCCCTCTAGCATATAGCCCTTCAAGCCAGCTGACTTTTTTTTCACCTATTAAGACCTTTTTAAATCTTTGATGGGTTTTCGGACTATTTCAGGACTACTTGCATCTTCTTTTAACTGAGATCCAACTTGGAGCTATTTCTGGGCTTGCAATTGTGGAGTCTAGTTTTGGTTCTGCTGGTGTTTTGTTTTGTGAACTTGAACAAGACTTATTTCTTTGGGTCTCAGTTTTCTCTTTTGTCAATTAGTAATAGTGCGTGTACAAGGAGAATGCTTGTCTAACTCACCATTAAGATTTTAGTTCATTTGTTTTGACCTCTGAGGGACATAGAGTTCTTTTGTCCTTATTCTATGGGTTATCATACAGAACTTTTTAGTTCATTTTTCGTTTTTAACCTTTTATTATGGAAAATTTCAGGCAGTTAAAAATAGAGAAGATACTGTAGTGAACCCTTTTATATCTGTCACCCTGCTTCAGTAATTACAATTTACTGGAGGCCCAATACACGAAATTTGTGCAAGGGGCTTGGCCCTCACAGCCTCGGCCGGCCCTCGCAGCCCCAGCTTGCCCTCACAGCCCCGGCTTCATCCAGAAAGTCGTCTGGAATGTCGTCCAGATGGTAGTTCTGCTGTTCGGTCTAATTAGCATATTAGCTCTTTATTATATAGGATTTTCAATGATGTTTCATCTATAACCTTACACTCACTACACCATCTCTACCCCTGAATTATTTTGAAGCAAATTCCAGATAACATACAATCTTAGCCATAAAGATTTAAAAAATATATCATCTATATATATATATATATATAAAAGGCCAAGTGACTGTCCAACCGTCCGACCCACCAGTAGGTATGACACACACTGACTACCAGGGGGGCAGATGCTCAACACAGGAGCTGCCCAGCTGCGGTGACTTGGCAGTGGTGGTTCAAAGGGTGACGCTCCGAGGAACCAGAGAGGAGGGAGCCCGATTCTGGGGTGCGTCACCCAAGAACC